CTGCTTACTCCGTCCTTAGAAGCAACAGATCATGGTAGCACACAGCTGAACAAACCTTGGGTGATTTCATAATTTTTAGTAAAAGATGATTAATCTTACCACGTCTGGATTTTTTTCCTAATGTTTGTGCTACCAATCTCTGAAACAAGACACACCCCTAAGTCTTTCAGGAGTCAAAAATCACTGCTTCTTCACTTGTTTCAATCTACCACAAGACCATGGTTCTAAGCTACCCAGGCTGGTGCTTTTCTTCGCAGATTGCTCAATAGATCTAAATTTTTAATAGACTATTCAGTTTCCAGTACAGTCCTGGAAAGTAGAGGAAAGCCCATCAGGGCACTCTAGAGAGGAGCTGCAATGAAGTCTCTACAAAAGGCCAGCAATTCTAGCACAGCTGCTGTAGGTCAACAGGACACAACACATTTTGAAGCAGCAACTTTACTTAGCTCCATCAGTCACCACCTCAGTCATCTTCCACAGCTTAAGAATTTTTGGTTACATCATCAAGTTTGTTTTCCAGTTTGAAAGAGGTTCCAGCCATACAGAGGTGGCCAACTTGTAAGAAAAAACAAAATTAATAAAATAATAATAGTCACACCACCTTCTCAACCCCCCTGTTCCAATTTCTTTGCAGATTTGCCTTTCCTCTCTCCAACCTCATATTTTCCTTTGTTTTCTGTCCACTAAATATCTGAAATGGTATTTAGGACACATTCTGGCTGGCTCACATCTTTATAAATGCTCTGTTGTTAGATGATGACCACCACATAAGCTTGAGCAGACTGATCAGGGGAAAAAAATTAATTTTTCATAGCCAAGGAAATAATGCTACAGCCACTAGCAAGTACCTGGCTTACATCTTCGCTGCTCCTGCCCCAAGTCACAGAGATGGAGAAAGCTTATGTTTTGCATATTCTGTGATCGTTCTGCCTTCCCTACTTTTTATGCATTAATTGAATTTTCTGCAAACATTTTACTATCACATGTAGGATTTAGATTAAAAAAAAACCAACCAAAAAAACCCACGCAAGACAATTTGTATTCAAATGGAAACAAGGAAGAAAAACAAAAGAAACATATTCCCACAATAAATACATGGATTGTTTGCACTAGAACATGTGCTTGGTTTCCATTTGTTTCAGCATTGTTTGTGCTTAACACGTTTTCAGATCTGGTTACTACCGAGGCACAGTCTAACACAAGTGTGGAAATTAAACAAGAGGAAAAAAAAACCAAAAAGCATCTAGGAACTGTAGCAGTTTGAAAAATTTTCAGATTTCATGCTCTAAGTGGTAAAAAAAAAAATCAGCACAGCTAATTAGATGTTTCGTAATGCCAGAAGTCAGCAATGTTTCAGGGGTGCCATGCCAGCTGAGAACACAACCATGCTGATTGACACCAGCTCTCACAGGAGGCAAGGGTGAAGGCAGGAGATGCTGCCTCCAGAGATACCTGCCTCCAGATGTGGTGTTCCAGCTCCCAACCCTGCTGCATCCCAAGGTTTGTGTGCTCACTGCCTTTTGTGCAAATACTGTGGGTTGCCAATTCCCGTCTTGTACCTCATGGTACGTAAGACTGGGGCAAGGGGGTGACCTCTGCAAGGAATTGCATCAAAATGTACTCTTTTCCCTTCATACACCTCACCAATCATACTTAAATAATAATAAAAGGAAGCTTTTATAGATGTTAAATCCAAATCCAAATAATTCACAAAGATTAGAGAATAGTTCATTGACACACAGATGGGAAATCCCTGGGCACCTTTTCTTCTAGCATAAAGCAAATAGATAAAATAGCAACTTACACTAATAGAATCTGTAAACTCTATACAATCCACTTTCACAACCAGAAAGTATTCGTTTCACATTTATATTCAATTTCTATTTAATTCAATTTACATTCTTTTCTCAGAGATAACATGGTGCCATGTCCAAGACTGAAGGATGTTATGAAAAGCATGCTGGCAATTAGGCAGACTGGACTAGGCTCTCCCTCCAATATTTTCAAACAGGTTTCTTGGGTTGATACTCCAGCTTCTCTACCAGACTTTCAGCCCCGCTCCCATATTCCCAAAGTCAATGTTACAGATTACCCGTACACACAATACGTTTGTCAGCGTGAAAAAATGTGTGAGCAGAATAATTTTATCTGCTAAACTTGTTTGCCAAGGGCTGCCACGTTCTGGACTGCTTCCCATGATCTTAAAATAATAGAACAGCACAGCCTCAGAGTCCTCCACAAAACATCACAAACATCTCACCACTTACATACACAGTCAAAAAGACTTAGGACCAATAAACAAAATTATGTGTGAACCTGTGCTGGTACAACACACATCCATTAAAGCAAAATAACACAGAACTAAGCACACAGCCAACCATCCAGATGGGGTTTTTTGTGGGATGCCAAGTGTCCAAACACTGCACCTCTGCTGACCCACTGCAGGCCATGGAGCATTCGCAGGAATGTTTGTCCTTCAGCTTCACATTTCCTTCCCAAAACAACTCGACCGCTTCCCTGCCTTCTCTGATTTGACAGAAATAGGCAACTAAAGAGAAAACCTATATATGTGTCCTTTTGTTTTACCTCTAGCCTTCAAAGAATCCTATCACTTCCAATTAAGAATCTGAGAAGCATCTTACAATAAGGCCAGCTAAGGGAATTTCAAAGTCTGCTACAGAATTTAGGGGGTGAATTTCCCATGATTTTGCTTTTTTTGGATGTCACTCTCTCTTTGCAATGGTTCATTGGTTTTAAATAATGAAATATTCACTGCTAATATGCTTGAATCAGAACACCCTGTGCCTGAATGCTGTCACACCTCCATACAGGTGTGCCAGTGAAATGATTTCCTACACAGAAGAAATAGCAACACTGCCACAAAGTTGCAAATCATATTTCTCTCCTGTTGACCACTGCATAGAAATTAGGCATTCCACAGTTAGCTAACTCGCAGCAAAAATTTACTTTTGCTGAACTATAAGCTAGCATTGGTATTGTAACAAAAAATTACTTATTTCTGTGAGAAGCTGCAGAGACTGAAAAAGCATCATGTGTACTGGAAGCTTCTGTTGGCAAGGCCTAAGCAGAACAGCAATCACAACTACCACGTTCAGGGAGCTATCTTTCAGTGACACCTTTATAAAAGGAAGAAAACGTGTATGGGAGGAGTGAAATCCTCAGTAATGGTTTGTATATCCCATATTCTGGACCTTCCAAAGGGTATTGCAAAAATCAACATTCCCATCACCTTGATACAGTCTAGTATTTTAATTGCAGGGCAACCATTTACTCTGCTAGTGAAAGAAAAAAAAAAAAAAAAGTAGAAAGATAAGAGTAATTCCCTGCAAATTTGCTATTACATTTCTCTTCACTGTCTAAATCCAGTACTGATGCAGAGCACCTAGTTCAGGCAATGCAATGACACTGGCATGCTGAGCTACTACACTGGCCAGGAACAATCAGACATCAGGGAATTTCTTTTTGCTTTATCTACTTTATTAAACATCAAATGGGTGGAGAAATTAACCTGTCCCATTTCTATAGATAGCGATTCTTGCAAAGATTTGAACACAAACCGACCTTTCAGTCTACTTTGACAGCAGTTTCTTGCCATCAAGCTCAACACCTTACTCATTTCTGGGAGTAGAGAAGCTGCCACAGAAACTTTAGAGCAATGTGGTAAAAGACTTCCCAGCCATCTTCTGTATGATAGTTTTGAGAGACTTGGAAACAAGAGCTTCATGTACTCCAACTCCTCACTCCCATGTGGAGGCAACAGAAATTTCTCCCAGCTTCAGAAAGATTACTGGTTCTATGAATTCTCACCAAGTGTCTCTCAAGTGAGTGCTAATCTTTGCAAATGCAGATGGGACGTACAAACCAATCACTTGGTATCTGGAAGCTGATTTTTCTGCTGAAGAGTGAAAAATCCCAATATAAACACTAAATGCACAAAGAAATAGTCTACCTTAAAATCATCCATGTCAAAGTAAAGTTATCAGCTGTATTTCACTGCCTGAAATAAGCAGTATTTGCAGTAAGTGCAAATACTTCAAAAGTGATTCCAGCTTTAGCAAATTTTCTAATGTTACTAAAAATATAAACACCAACTTTGTAAAAATGTATCATAATCAGAAACAAAGTATTCTTATAGATTCACCTAATCCCATTCCTTTAGTCTGACTGGGGTTTTGAGGACAAACGGAGACACTGCTGACTGGGAATCTACTGAAATATCCTCCCCTTTTGAAAGACATGAACAGTTTCATATGCAAGGCTTTTATGTTCCACAGCCAGGTTAAATAGACAGATACATGCAAGAAATATCCCTTTTTAGTCTCCTCTCTTCCACAGGTTTCTTTAAAAGTGTCTGGGAAGTAATGCAGCATTTCCTTCTCACTGTCTGGTTTCTATGAACCACTGATTCAGTTCAAACAAGAGAGGTTTTTGATTACCACTTCAACTAATGAAGGAGAGGGACGAACCTCTTCACCAGATCTAGAAGACAAGATAGGGCTTACACTGTCATAAGGAAGATTGCTGCTAGACACATCTGACAGACAGGATTGCAATGCACTGGAACAAACAGTGGGATTTCCTGCACCAGGTACTAGAGGCAGCTTGAACTCATCCCTATTGACATGGGCATAGGTATAAACAAGCAGGTGAGCTCTCAAAACCTGACTTTTTTTTTCTAGAAGGATGGTAAACACATCTCTTCAGGTATAAATGGAGCAGACAAACTGCTGTATGCTGCACTGGTTAACAAAATGCCAAGTGAAGAGAAATTAAGTACAAGATCTAGCTTCTGTTGCCAGAAGGATTCCAAAAGAGGGACCGTTATACAGACGAGTCTTCCCCTATGCAGGAGAGTAAAGGACAGAAGTCAGGTTTCAAACTCACGGCTCTAAATCACAACACTGCCTGTATTAATGATTCAAACAAAAATCACAGGACAGCAAACCTGCTAGGCAAAGAGGAATTCCTAGGCAGCTTACCTCAATGGACCATAATTCAACATTATGAAAGCCAGTATCACCATCACACACAGGGTCCTTCTCTTTGGAGATGATACCTTGAGCTTCTGGTTCTAGACAGGAAAAAACAGAGAAGACAAACAATAAAAAAGGGACACAGACATGCAAAGGTATGTCAGAAGCTAAATACACCAAATTGTGCTTGCTTTTTAGTTTTACATTTGCCTAATTACATATGAATACATGCCAGGACTAATTAATAATAAAACTCTTAGGTTGGTACATTATATTCAGCTTCTATCCCATCTATCTTCTCAGTGAAATCTTCAAAAGCACCAAAAATAAAGAATTAAGTGTCAACCAGATAATGTGACAGCTGTCCTGACCTAGAGTTGGTGAAAGTCCTGCTTGGAGTGGAAGGCTGAGCTAGAAACCCCCAAAGGTCTTCCAGTCAACACTTCCATGTTGTGCTCTAGTACCTTCCACCTGAGCAATATATAAAGTCAGATGTTTCTCACAATCTCTTACCTCTAATACTACTTCATCCAGCTGCCTCTTCAGCGTGCTGTTTTCTTTCTTGAGTTTCTCATTCTCCAATAAGGCTGCCTCCAGCCTTGCCTCCAGTCCCAACATGTATTCTTTCTTTTTCTTCCGTGACTGAAAGGCTGACTCCCGGTTTTTGATCATGCGTTGCTGCCTTCTCAAGACATTGACCTGGACAGACAATACCAAGGACTGTTAATGATCCACAAGTTAAAAGTGCCTCTATTTCATGCATAACTTCTGCTCCTTTGTTTTGTCAAAAGTCTGCATAGATAGCTTCCTGCACTCTGCTTCAAAAGAGCTGAAATGCTCAGCACAGAGACAAGTAGGGATCCAAGAGTTACAGCTCACTAATAATGAAAAAAACAGGTCCTGTGCTGCTTCTGTTTTCTCCTGCGTTCTCAACCTTCTATGTGTAGGGACTCATAATGTACACTTGAGCAGCAGCTTGATTTGATCAATCAAGTCACAAAGACAGAAAATACATAAGTCTGCAAGGTAGCAAGAATGTCTTTCATCTTCACTTTACCATACACCACTTTATAGGCTACAATCAGTCATCTGTTTTCTTAACTGAAAAATCCTACAGTTTTTTAGTTTGTCCCGCATGGAGACCATTTCCACATGGATTACACTTGTTTCTGTACCTTTTCCAGATCCTATATAGTTATAGTTTTTGAGACTGAATACTATTGCTGACCTCGGATTGCACATTCTATGTGTATGAGGCACTTACATGGCAGTTTAAATGCAGTTTCTGGTGCATCTGTATTAGCATCTTAATTCAGATCAGAAGTGTGGCTTTGATGCACATTTCCTGATTGTCCCACTTAATATGCTTTGGTTCACATCACAGAACAGTTTCTGATAGAGCACACAAACCGGATTCCTTCCAGATGAAGCTAAACCAGCAAACATACTCCACAAGGGCACATAATTCGCTCCAACCACTAGCAGGCATTCAGGCTGCGAGACCAGACCAGGGCAGTTCAAAGTAACCCCTCCCCATCCCCCAACAGTTCTCATGAGTCTGATTTTTTTTCCCCACACAGGAACAGTCTATCATCCCTTACCACTCACTCTTTTTGTGGTTTGCACTGAGTGGGACAACCTAGAATGAAAGCATCTTGCTGCTGACAAGGATAACGATGACCGATACTGCAGAGCTCTACAAAGCTACTTGCAATCCTAAATTTAAACACTACTCTGTTGATGTCCTTTTCCTCACAGATTAGCAACAGCAACTCTGTTTTTACTAAAAACAGAAGACTTCCACCACATTATTAGGCTACAACAGGTTGTGCCTTAATGATGTTTACAGTGAAAGAGACCTGAATGCTGTATCTTACACAGACCTGAATATACTCCAGTAGCTACCAACACATGCATGAGAGTAACCTGTATCCATTAGAGCATGAAAGCTAAAGAAAAAAATATTAGAACTATTCTAGAAGTATCAGTCTAGAAAAAAATAGACAAGTCACAGAATAGTAACATTAACAAACTCGGACAGTGTCCTCCAGCTAAGGTCTGGCTCTTACAGAACCTCAACCATAGCTTTCCAACTCTCTCCCTGTACATACCCACACACAGACAATTTGTTGCTCTAGGGCTTCGGTGTCTGCAAGAAAAATTGGCTACAGGCTGTTTGAAGAAGTCATTCTTCTTCATGATACTGCAGTCTGGTGACAAAGACTAAAAAAACGTTACAGTGCATTAACATTTTGGACTGTCTCCACGTTGATCTAATTGCTTTCTGTGAAGATCATTTATTATGATCTATGTCTAGTCTGCTGCCACCAACAAAAGTCTGTGAAAGTGAAGCTGTTTGTACTTACTCCAGTTTCTCTCTTTAACAGAGACTGGAGAAGGAAAAGATTTTAATGTATTTTCATTAACACCAAGCTGTGTCTTGAATTTTTTAAGTACTACAATGCTTAACATAAGAAAACTTTTGCAGACATATAAAAACTTTGGAAAAATAAAATGGTTCCAGCTAGCCGAGGACTGCAGCGTATAGAACACACCAGTTTGGGGCCAGGATCATTTCAACTGTCCAGGGATGAAATAACAAGGAATGAGTTCATGCAGCAGCTTTGGCTTCAGTTGTGTGATATTCCAAACAAGTAGTTACATTCCTCTTTTTAAAAAGAGGTTTTGCATCATGAAGTCAAACAGAGAAGACCAAATTGTTTACATCCATTCTTGTTTGTAGAGCTGCTCAGGATTATTCACTACTGGACAGCTTTTGACTAAGTGTCTGGAACCTCTGGCAAATATATCTGCTTCCCAGGAGAAAACATGGAGTTTAAGCACCAGTGCAGTGTTTGTACAGTAAAGTAGACCCTGAGGCACACCTATTGCTGTTTCAGACAGTACCAGCTACGTTTCAGATGGTATTTATCTAGACTGCCCTCCTTTACTCAGTGTTCTCTGAATGCTGTCAGGAACAGCAGCTCTCCCCAGATGTATTCAAGGTACTCTGTGCAGTGACTGCATTTCAGTCTCTGCCACACCAGTTTCACTTCCAGTCATTTCTTAGGCTTGGTTAAATGAAACCAAACTATTCGTGTCCTTGAGTTATTTTGTTTTAATTGACAACCCCTAATAAAGTTTAAGGTCCTTGGTTAACCCTCTAGCACTTACTTGGCTTTTCTAAAAAGTGCACACTTGATCCTACCTAAATCTGACGCAGGAAACTGAAAGAGTTTTGTGTTTGAAGCAGTGCAGTAATGCTTGAACCTGGAAGCAGTACGGCCCTGAGCATTACAGAGCTGGCTTGGCATCAAGATAAACATGCCCCTTGCTTGAGCATTTTGATAATCAGAAGAGAGAAAGGAACTAATTTAGAATGTTAGACTGCTTAAGCAACATTGCATGAGTGCTGAGCAAAGATTAAACATAGAATACACCTCTGCTAACTTCTTTTGAAGCCTCCCTCTTTGTAGGTTGTATTGTATTAATTTACCACTGAAGACAGTAACTTCTGGTTCTCAGGAAGCACAGACCACAAAGGAAAATATTTGCATTAGAGTCAAATATTAATTAATGATTTAGCTTTTGCTTTATTTCTTTAAAAACTACACCACCACTAACACACACACAAAAAAGATGTTGCAAATATGGAGAAGTGAAAGGTTCACTGCAAAACCTTGCTTCAAACAGTACTAACTAGATGCAGATTGTCCTCTATCTTCAGAGGCTTTACAGAGTCATGCACTTTACAAATAAACACTGCTACCTCAATTTAGCCTTCCAAAGAAAACTCAGTTCTGAGCAAAATTTAACCTCCATTCCAACATAAGCTGTATTTCTAGCATAATGCAGTAAGAATGTCTCTCACACTCCATGGAATTTTTGGTACACACACTGGGAAAATTAACAAAGAGCTGGAAGTACAAACCCTTTCAACTTTACATTGGCCAGCTTCTTACCTCAGCTTACGAAAGCTGCTATCTTTGAATATGAATCTTAAATGCAGGAATACAAAACCTACACAAGTGTTTTCTTTGTTCTTATGACAGATCTCGGTTTTCTTGTCTTTAACTCAACAGAACACAACTTGACTACAGCACAGAAAACAGGATTCTTTAACAGAAATCCACAGTTGTGTTGAAGTAATTTTGCATAATATAACTTCTTCTAAATTTTCGATTTTTTTTTTTTTTTTTTTTAAATCAACAGAACTGGAAGGCAGAATTACATCCTTTTTCCCTATTGAGTGGAAACATAAGAGAAAGGCCTTCTAAGGACACAACTAAACTGAATTCCCTCATACACCTACCATTTGTCGTCATATTTAATTGCAACAGGAAAGGCAATCTGCTTTTTTAGTTAAGAGCCTCTTTCCTTCAACCGGAAGAGTGGCTTGCTTTGGCAGCGTTTCTTTTGTCCAATTTCCTAGTGGAAAGTTCTTCACTGGTTTCCTAGTGAAGAGTGACCGCACTGAAAGCCTGTCACTGCCCTGTGGGTGGGAAGTAAACGTGTGCCACCAGGGCAAGCACAACTCAGGGCCTCAGGCATACGGCTTGCTATCAACCAATCTCAGCCTAATCCACTGGAAGGGCTGAGTGTTAAGCTAACAGTTTATCCCCCCTAAGCCCAAAAAGAAAGTCCTGCAGTGTTTCTTTTTATCCCGCAACATCTGCTGAGATTAGCAAACAAAAACACATGTTGCAGAGCTCAAATGACAGCTACATCTGTGCAGCTCTGAGCACCACATATGGTGGCTACGGCAGTCGCAAGATGTTTTAACCCTGCTGGCGCCAGCTGCATCCTGAAACATTTGTTCTTTTTCAAAGTGCCATTTCACAGAATGTGCCAAAGAGCAGTTGTAAATGTTTTTTCATGTTTCAAAAAGCACAGGTAGAATGTGCAGCATTTAGGCTGACACCAAGTCTTAAAACTGCCTCCCTAGAACAGCTTCAGGTGGAAATATCCACACAACCCTTGTTCAAAACAAACAGCCTTTCATTATCTCAGTTACACATTTGACTATTGACAGTCACAGATGTGTATGGGAAGCACAATAACAATACAGAGGGTTTGTCAAATCTTGTATTCAGACAACAGCAAGGTGCCATGCTAGTCTTGATTACAGGGAGCCAGAAATCTAGTGAAATCTAGTGACTGCTGACAGGTCTCTTCAGTTTGGCTTTGGGTGGCAGTGGCAGGCAATGGGGGATGGAACTCGATCTTTAAGGTCCCTTCTAACTCTAACCATTCTGTGATTCTATGGTAATTATAATTTAAAAATGTAGCGCTTTTAACCAGTCTGCCTACCGACAGACCTTGGTTAGCTTCTTGCCAATTCAAGATTATGGTTTCCATTGCAGTCTGGCTACTGAATTTTTTGTAGCAAGTAGTTTTTCACTTGAAAATGCAGCCCCCACACAAACATGAAGAGCGAGGAAAATTTAACATCAAGCATGAGTGGCAATTCTCAGACCCTAGGAAACCCCACACCACCACCCCTCCAAAGAAGCCAGAAGGCAGATACCTTTGCGAAACAGTGTCCTGCACTGCTAATAGGCAGGTGACTATACTGCAGAGTTTCATTCAAATGTGAAAACCAGTGTTTTCTCCCTCACACCGAGAGATGTGATAGGACTCTCAGCTCTCAACAACTGTGCTTGGAGGACCACACTGGAGAATGACACCCTGAGAGTTTAAAAGACAGTTTTAAACCTTCTTATTTAAGAGGTTTAACAAGACACTTCAGTACTTTCCACAACCATGGCTTCCTTTGGACAACAAAATGCAACCAAGGCAGCTCCAAACTACTAGAAACTACATCAAGTTAGCACCCAGCTTGCTAGCTAGTTAAGATAGTTAAGATAGCTAGTCAGAGCTGAAGGAGGGGAAAAAAAAAACCCACATGCGTCTCAAAAGCTGTTTTGGTTTACACCTACTGCTTACTGTCAGCTACTGTGGAAAAAATGATTTGTGCAGTGACTCTTGAGAGCTTACCCCTTTTCTATTCATTCAGTATATGATGAAAAGGGAGCCTAAAGAGATTAGGATCATATGAAACCCAGTACCTTAAGTTTCCAAAAATCATGAGTAAGATCTGGGGAGATAAAGGGGATGGAAAAAGAATCAAGCCTACTGCTGACATTTCCAATTCATCTACTTCCAAAGAAGTGGTTTTATTATATGGCTTAGAAAAATGATTTAGTACTAATCAAAAATCAGACAGATGTAAGAGAGCTTCAGCCATTGAGAGCTTGCAGTTGAGAAGACAAGCAAAGGAAAAAATATATCAGCACTGTCTTCTACAACAATGCGTGCATACCTGGGCTGCAGCTCCAGGCAGGCCAGCACACATCAACCTGTTCCTCCCCATTCTTTGCCAAGCTGCCAAATTCCCCATTTGCTGTTAGAAATCCTATTAGATGAGCCCAACTACGGCTCTGTCTTCCCTGAGACTCAGAAGCAGCCTGGTTCTCCCATTATATCCTACATACAGGTAACTGAAGACCATTTCCAAGCTTTGGTTATTAGCCATCATCACACAGTCAGAACTTACATCCAGCCCCATCGCTGCTGTGGTGCTTTGAAGCAAGGGCTTAGTCACTGGTATTTTGCCGCCTGTTGAGCCATTTCCAGCAGCTGGAGGCAACGCGTTGACCGCAGGATTGTGAAGTGGCGTGGTCCCTCCGGTGACAGCAAGGACTGGCTGGGAGGCAGGGAGCACCCCAGAAGCCTGGAGCTGTACCACAGCAGGCTGGGGGAGCACCACTGATTGACCTACAACACAAGAACAAACAGGAGCACTCAGCGTATGATATGAAACGCATCTTTACATGACCAGTTTGTAGGGGAATACTGATATAGGAGGAAGAAAGCCTTGCTTCCTCTCCTGCCCTGCACAATTTATCTCAAGTCCAATTCCACAGCATTAGTATATTCCACAGGATAGCAATGGGGAGGGGAAAAAAACACAAACAACCGTCAAAAGTTTTCAGGGCTCTTAATCCATCCTGCAAATCAAAACTACATACATTAAAGACATCCAATAGAGCAAGCTCTCTCCCAAAAGCTCTTCAAAGTCAATAGAAGTTAAAACTCGTTAGAAACATTACTAATTTCAGTATTCCTAACACGTGATGCACTTTGAGTCACTTTTTTCAAAGAACATAACCAGCTTACTTCAATCCTCCTCCCTTTTGTCCATCCCTACTTTACTGCTGCATTCAATGGAAAACTTAATACACAGAAGTGACTCATACCATACAAAACAATTCAGAAACAGCACAGAGAAAGAAGATTAACAAGAAAGAAAAATGCAAGTTACACTTTCAAAACATAATTTAGAGCCTCAATTCACACTAAAACAAGACCAAGTTTTTCAAAAAAATTATTAGGTAAGAAATTTTATGCACAAGATGAATAGAGCCTAAAGAAAACTAAGCAGAAAAAAATCGAGGTAATATTGACAGATTTTGAAATGGAATTAAAAACAGCCACTTCCAAGAAATTTCAGTCCAACAACTACATTTAACTCAAGCAGGTGTTTGAGTAATATTTTGTTGTCAGAAAACACAGGAACGTCTCTCTAATCCTTTGTAACAGGATGACCTCGCCAGCTTTCAGAAACAGCATGTTCCAGCTGAGCATTCCAACCGAAATGCACAACAATGTATTACAGCATTTACCCAACCTTCTGGAAGGTGAAAAATGAAGTAATTCACCTAGTGCCAAGGTTTTTTTTTTTTTAATGTACGAGCTGTAGGATTAGATCTCCTTTTTTGCAGAGATAATCTCGAAGACATCATAAGTTAATACCACCCTATTTAAGAACCTGAAATGGGGAATTTGAGATTATTTCAATTATCTTTTTAATGCATAAAGTATGTGTTGCTTTCTTCTTTAAGCTTTTATGAAAGGGACTATAAAGATATCATCCCTCATGCTCCTTTGAGCATAATGGCATATTTCAAACTGGTAGCTCCAAGTTGTCATAGGCAGGGGATTTTGATTAATGAAAAATATCCTTATGTTTTTTGTTATGGAAGCGGAACAACAGAATTTTTAAACACATCATCAGTTAAAGTAAATACATGGAATGGAAATACTTTCCCCAAAATATTTCTTCTATAGGGTCTCACAGAAGCTATTCTCTTGACTTTTCTTCAGGGAAAAGGATAGAGCTGATCTTCACAGTACTATACTTATATACAAAAAATCCATAGCCCCAACATTCCTTATTCCAGATGGTATTTTATCAGCTGGAACATCAGAACAAATAAGAATTAGGTCACGCTGACTGTGTTTTAAGCAGTCTAACAATCTTCGGCATGCTGTAAAAAATGTCAGCGTCTCCAGCTTTGGCTTAACTCCTGATGGAAGAGCAATTAGTAATGAATACAAATTTTTCACTATTGCAATAATTTCTAGATACATGCCCTTAAGTATTTGTCTCCTTTTTCTTCAACGCCTGGGTGCCTGTACAGTCAACTGCAAGAAACTGCAGCCATCAGCTGGTGAAAACAAGCAACTGCAGCTGACAATTCCAGCAATGCAAGTACTGCCTTAGCTGAGAGTAAAATAATGCTTTGGATTCAGAAATGAAGGCTCAAGCTACTTCAAAAACCTGTTACAGGGCAACAGAAGGAATTATGAATTATCAGTGGAGAGGAAATCACTTGCCTGTTGTTAACATCAGCTTGCAGCTGTAAACAACTTTTCTAACCTTTAACGTGGCACACTCAACTCTTGGCAGATTTCACAACATCCTATTTAATGCTGTTCAGTGAGACAAAATGCCATGAACTCATGTTCCCACCATCCGGTGGCAGAGTTTCATGTGGGTTAAAAAAAGCTTTTATGACTCCTACACCAAGCTCTCAAGCTTCATTCAAGCCATCCTAACTGACCCTGCTGGATCTTCCTTTGAGTACAACAGAATAGCACTGTAATTGCCTTACACACCACCTGCCATCACAACTAGAGCAGAGCAGAGGGTCCCCAGAGATCCTCCCAAATCAGCAGTTTTACCTCCACAATGCCAGTGCTCAGTCTCTGTTGCTATACTGCCTGCCATTCCACACAGAGCACTCACCTGGGCACTTTCTCATAGGAGTATATGAGAGAGGAATAAGGCCCTCTTCTCAGCCTAAATCTTTTTCAGCAAAGCATGTAGGAACCCTCTTTTTTTCTCCTAGCCCTCCCGTTTCACTCACCAAAGCTAACTTTATTCTAGAGATCATCCCAAACAGACTTAGTGTTTACCCCTCAGACAGGCTCAGTCAAGAAAATTCACCTACCTTTAGGAGGTGCTGGCTGGATGTTGACAACCGGCTGATGCTTTGGCAGTGGCACAAGGGTGGGAAGAGTCTGAATAATGATGGTTTTAGCTGGGATGCCAATGTTAGCCTGAGCTTCAGGTACAGCAGGCAAGAGGGGTTTGGGTTGTATCAGAGGCCTGGACGCTGTCTGACCACACCTCTTCAGGGTCCTCGCAGAATTATTTGCTAGGAAAGGAGAAAGAGCTAGAGTTGGACCAGATGACACAGAACGAAGAATTCAAGCAGTAATAACACGGCTTTTGGAATGGTGGTTTTTTTTAACCCATCTCTAATGTTTGTTAAAAATGGACATATCTGACAACAAATATCAAGTCAGAAATGACAGGATATACTAGCATCTGTTAGTTAAACATTTGCATGCAAGACAATATGCAATTCTGCACTACCCAGAGAATCAAAATAACCCCATCTTTCATACCAGACCGCGAGGCGATGCCGACAACAGGCTTCTTCCCTCCATCTCCTTCAGGGGATGCAGGGCTTCTGCAACTCTTGCTGTAGAGAGAGATGGGAGACATCTGGGAGCTACAGCTGAAGTCCCCATCATCCTGCAGACAGAAAGTATACGAGATTAATAATTCAGAAACATATAAAAGCATCCACTAGTAGTTCAGAGTATAACAGCCTTTCATCACATTTGTGTTGCTGCTTCAGTGAACAGGAGAAAGGCTTTGTTTTGCAGTTTTAGTCTAGTCAATGTCAAGTACCGCTGAAAACCAAAGAAGTACCTCTCCTTATCAGGAGAGTGAAAGGGGGGGGCAGAGGCCAGCAACGGCTAGATTTTAAAAGGTGCTTTGTTTGGCAACCAGGCCAATACACACAACTGAGGAAACAGAACTGAACATGCTCTTTTTAGAATGGGTCACAGCAGGAAAGGGAAGGGAAGTTGTTTTTGCAAGAGATGGAAAAATAAGCTTTTTCTTCTTATGCCATGAAGCTGGTCAGACAAGTAAACCACTGGGCCTTTTGTTTGCCCCAGCTGGTTCTGAATGACTGCAGCTGTGTGTGTTACACGGAGGTCTCTGCGTACAGGCACATTCTGCACTGGAGAGTCCACAGATGACGGAGAAGGGACCGAACAATTTGAAGTAGCTGGTGATAAGGGTTCTGTCTTCACGCTTTCATCTGCAAGAGGCAGATAAATTTCACTGTACAAGTGTTTAACAATGGGAGATCAGTAAAGAACATACTGCCCTACAGCAGCTAATTAATTCCTGCAGCAAGGCACAGCAGAAGACATAGCGAGATTAAAGACACTAAACAGCTTAGCCTGTAGGGCAGCTCTCGCCAGCTGTACCCATCCTACAGAAACACAGCACGACTTCTCATCACCAAGCTGAATGCTGCAGGCCATCAGTTTCATGTATATTATCACTATCCTAAAGTTACAACAGCTCACCCCTTGTGGGGTGGGAGGGAATAGTCACCCCTGCAAAATACAAAAGGTCAATTACCTTCATAAGCATGGCCTGTAAGATTCCAAAGATCCGAGTCCCAAGACATCAAATCCAAATCAAACTGAAAGTTATAGAGATCATTTTCCTGAAATGACAGTTCAGAAAAAGAAAATGCAAAAAGACAATATATATTGAAAACATCAGCCATTATTACAACCCATAATGTTGCAATATACAATATAACCAACACATTCTTACAGCTCCGGAGCACAAAATGAAACTATCACTTCAGCTGCCTTAAGGCAGCAGAGATAAAAGCTTAAGGGGGCAATTCTCAACTGGAATACACAGGACAAGGCTTCTTTAAAGCTTAGAGCTGTAGGAAACAAGCATACCAGTTTCAGACCATCACTAGGTACCACACTGCTATCAGCAATTTGTAAAGTGAAAGTTCTAAGCTCAGTCACTGTACCACCTTATAAAAAACACAATTTTTAGCAACTTGTTGGCATCCCCTTATTTGTCTTAAGTGAAAGATTGACTTAATGCCCTTCCATCATCACATCTCAAAGCACTTTATAAACAAAAGCAGCACCAGTATCAATTTACCAGCAAGAAGAGAGACACAAGGACTGATTTGCTCAAGATCTGATGACAGTATGCATTAGGACTCCCTAGAGTTGAATAAACTGACACTGTCATCTTCTAAAACCAGGGACACCAGTTACCTTGCCAACAGAAAAAAAAAAAGAGACTAAAATCACTTCATATATATTATTTATTGTACGATCTTTAAAACTGTGATCACGTTTTTGCTCCATTTTTTCTGCTGATGCAACTGTAAGTCTCAGTTCCCTACTCACTATAATGTTTTTATGAGCATTTGCATGAAAAATATAAATATTACATACCAAACTTATACAAATATATAGCAAAAACTCTCCTGTTAAAAACTACCCTGCAAACATACTTCTCCTTACATTCTCAAGCTGCCTTATAGAGGGCGGCTCAGAAAGTCTGCAGAGTGCACAGAAATAAGTATTCACAGGCTAGGATAAAGAAAAAGCTCATCAGAGCATATTTATAGCAAGAATGATCAACAACCACAGCCCAAGCTGTGCAGTAGAAGCCCCCACACAGGCAATTAATGCAGATCTACTGAAGGGGGATATCCTGCTCTTCTACAATGCAGCAGTTCCCAAGTCTTCTCCAGCACCTGGCTCTACAATGCCTGTAGGCATGTTCTTAGTACCTGAGGTTGGTGCTGGATAACGCAGGGGTTGTGCTAGAGGTGGGGCAGGACACAGCGAGTAGAGAAAAGGCAGGGGTTTTAAAACAGAGAGTGGAGAAACCATGAGGCAAATGCCTCAGGACAGGAAAAGCCGTATGTATGATCAGACAGTGAAAAACATGGTTTGCAAGGAAAGGGTTTAGCAGAAAATCCACAAACAGACAAGAAAAGAAGAAGCCACGTTATAGGCAAGGTGATAAGTCACAGCATTGGTGGCCACAGTTCTCCAAAAGGAGAACAAACACACAACCCAGATGCGCGCTCTCCTGCCAGCACCGCCTCGCAGGGGATGTTTGCCTTCAGCAGGTCAGGGACAGGGCAGCTTTCCCTGGGCACGGCGCCTAAGGCGCTCACTTTCCTCTCTCCCCTTCACCCTCGGGCTTTTAAACCCCCGGCTTCCGACACCGACAGCCCCTTCACAGAGGGACAACCCCGCACCTCAGCGGCCGAGCCACGGCTGACCGGCTGAAGGCCTGCCAAGCCCCCGGCGCTCCAGCCCGGCACCTCCCAGCGGGCGGCCGCCCTGAAACCCCCGGCGCTGCTCCGGTACTCACCTCGGGCTCGTCCCTCGGGGCCCGCCGCTGCTCCGCGGCGCCCAGCAGCTCGCTCAGCTCCTCGCCCAGCACCGCCTCTGCGGAGAGACAGCGGCCTCAGCGCCGGCGAAGCCCCAGCGGCGAGGCCCCCCCACCGCCCGGCACCGGCCCCCAGCTCCCCCCACCAACACCACCACCCCCGCCGCCCTCAGCCCAGCTCACCCCAGTCGAGGCCGCCCCCCGGGACCGGCAGCAGCCCCGCCGGCTCCCACTCAGCCTCCGCCGCCGCCATGGCTTCCGCCTTCCTCCCGAAACACACGTCTCCTTCCGGGCAGAGCCCCGCCCCAACTACGGCGGCCGCCGCGGGGGCGGCTTCCCCTTCCCTTCCCCGGTCCCGGCCCGTCCCCACCCGCTCCCGGGCGCACGGAGGCAGCTCGTTAGAAACAGGCGTTTATTCAGTCCCTGCTGACACAAGCACGAGTCGGAGGGGAGGAGGGAGGAAGGGGACCCGCGGGGGCACGTCCGAGGGGAGGGCAGTTCCCTGAGGGAAGGGGCTGGCGGCGGTGGAGGCGGCCCAGGGCCCCGGGCTGGTCGTCACGCGTGGGGGGTGCGGGAAGGCGGCTCCGCGCCCCGTGTGTGTTGGGGGGGAATGGCGGTGGACACGCAGCGTGGGTGGTGTCTCCACCCGGCAGCACGGGTCCGGGGTGCGAGGTCCTGCAGGGTCCCGGCCACAGCTCATGCTGGGCCTGCAGCGCCGGGGGACACGGTGGGGTTTGGTCACGGCCAGGCTGGAAGCACAGGAGAGCCAGGGCTGGTGTGCTCCTGATGTACCTTAGAAATCGGGGTCTTTCACCCTGTAAGAAAGTTACAAGGCCTTGGGTGTTAATACAGAAGCACAGAATCTTCTAGGTTGGAAGGGACCTTCAAGATCATCTTGTCCAACCGTCAACCTAACTTTGACAGCAATAGACACCCGCACAACAAACAAAAAGCATCACCATCACTAAACCATACCTCCCAGCACTACATCAACCTGTCTTTTGAACACCTCCAGGGATGGTGTCTCAACCACGTCCCTGGGCAGCCCATTCCAATGCTTGATAACCCTTTCAGTGTAAACATTTTTCCTAATATCCAATCTGAACCTCCCCTGGCATAAAATTGAGGCCATTTCCTCTTGTCCTGTTGCCTGTGACTTGGGAGAAGAGACCGACCCCCACCTCTCTACACCCTCCTTTCAGGCAGTTGTAGAGAGCAATAAGGTCTCCCCTCAGCCTCCTTTTCTCCAGGCTGAACACCCCCAGCTCCCTCAGCAGCTCTTCATAAGACTTGTGCTCCAGACCCCTTCACCAGCTTCGTTGCCTTTCTCTGGACCCGCTCCAGCACCACAAAAATTGTGGTAAGGGGCCCAAAACTGGACACAGTACTCAAGGTGGGGCCTCACCAGTGCCTAAATTAAACATTAAACTAAACATTGCAGCTTTAAATGGAAGTGAGAGACAGTAGTAACCAATAGAAAATGTTAAGAAAATATACTAACTAATAATTATAATAACCAGAGCGTATTTCTGTGTTTTGAAACGTATAAATATTCCGAGGAGTTTGTAGGCCAAGTGTGCTAGCTTTATGGTTTACCACCTAGCACTCATCTCTGCGCAGAAGTGATTTAAACAAAACCTCAGCTCCGTGTGTACATTGGCATCTTGCACATCGGGTAAACGACCCCACTTTTGGAACCCCTGCTTCCCCTCCCAAAGGGTGTCCCCACCTGGGAGCACCCCAACCAGGAGGATAGCTGCCCAGGTGAATTTTCCACACAACTCCCACCAGGAGTTAGAGGGAATGGTGGAACATTTCCAGCGTGCTGCAAAAGCACAGAGTGCCGTGAGGGTCTCACCCACGCTCACCTTACAGGTTGGCATCGTACGCTGCATTGGTGAAAATGCCGGGTGATCCTAGGTCACTGGAAAACAGAGACAAGGGTGTTGAGATGGCAGGAGTGTAAAGGGCAGGGGTTAGCACAGCCCCACCAGCCCTGAAGATGCTTTCACTGCACATAAAAGCAGCTTCACATGAGCAGATCTGGGTGATGTGGGGTGACAACAGGGCTGTGATGGGCACAGGGCAGAGACACCCTCCTGCAGAGCACAGCTCTCACCTGGTAGGGTTCAGAAGCTTCTTCTTCTCCTCTGAGAAGTCAAAATGTCCACGTGGGTAATGGAGATAGAAAAAAAACCAAACAGATCTGTTTAGTGACGGACTTGAGAAACTGCAGCAGCAGCATCTGCAATTGAACCAAGTTTGACAAGCACAGGAGGGAGCAGGAAAGGGGAACTGAAACAATTGTCTTCTTCCCCTGTGCAATTAAGGTGGTTTTTTGCCTTTTGCCCTCCAAACCTGGCTGTTGACACTTCCAGCTGGACAAACTGCCAAGGAGTTGCTGCCAGACCAAAGCAGCTCACAGCAAATAAAACACGTGGATTGAGGCAGTCACACCATTAAACTCTTCTGATCATCCCACCCTCTCCTGGGACTCTGTGACCCCCTGGTCTGAGAGCCCCTGGCCAAAGCAACGGGAGGCTGTGGGAGCGGTTTCTGTACCTCTGTCACTGAGCCGCTTGGCGAGGAGGGCAATGAGCGCACCCGAGAGCACGATGCCACCTACTACCAGAGCTGTGCCGCTGCTGTAAGCCAGGACTTGCTTTAAGAAGGGGGCACCATCCTCTGAAACAGACCCACAGGTTGGAAAGTTGTCAGAAGGACTTCACAGCGCCCAAGCTGCTGGGGTGCCCCCCACCACATTCGAGATGTGCTGTGGGAAACTGCACCTCCCCACAAATGCTAGAGGAATGGGGAGGGGGTGTGTGTGTGTGTGTGTGTGTGTGTGTCCCACTGTACCTGCACAGACTGGGGGATGTCTGGTCCAGTTCCCCGTGGCTGTACACCGGAGCACCTCTGCTCCCATCCGAACAAACCCCTCCTCACAGGAGAAGGTGCATGTGGAGTTGTACGTAGTGCTGTGGGCTAGAGGAATGGGGAGGGGGTGTGTGTGTCCCACTGTACCTGCACAGACTGGGGGATGTCTGGTCCAGTTCCCCGTGGCTGTACACCGGAGCACCTCTGCTCCCATCCGAACAAACCCCTCCTCACAGGAGAAGGTGCATGTGGAGTTGTACGTGAAGTTCCCATGCGGGTGAGAGCAGCTCACCTGGCCTCTGCTGGGGGGGTCCAGCGCTGGGCAGCTGGTGGCTGGAGATAAAGCACAGCAGTAGCGTCAACAGGACAGGACTGATGGTGGTGGGCTGGGGACACGTGGGCTGTGGAGCCAGGGGATGAGCTGCCATGGACTGGGGAAGGGAATGCTGGAGAAAGTAGTCTGCTACAACAGAGGACTTCCTGACACACCCGGGATCTTGAGATGTACCTCTGCATTGTGGGGTGTCCCCAGACCAGGTCCCTGTGGCCATGCACTTGCGGCTCTTCGGCCCCATCAGCACAAACCCTGTCTGGCACGAGAAGGCACACGTGGAGCCAAAAGAAAAGTCGCCATGGAGGTGGGAGCAGGCAGCCTGGCCCATCTTGGGGCTGGCCAGTGCTGAGCATTTGATAGCTGAAAGAGTGGAGAGGCACACTTCAAAAAGGAGCCTGGGAGACTACATTGTTGGGACCAAGAGGCTGGGGAACATCCTAGTGTCACCCCAAAGCCAACAGCTCCCCTGAGCTCTAGCAGCAGCTCTACCTGCACAGCGTGGGGCATCCCCAGTCCAGGTCCCTGTGGCTGTGCACTCGCGGCTCTTGGACCCCTCCAGTGCAAACCCCGTCTGGCAGGAGAAGGCACAGGTGGAACCAAAGGCAAAGTCTCCATGGAGGTGGGAGCAGTTCAGCTCTCCTCGATCTGGAGCAATGAGCACCGGGTGCTAAGGGGAAGGGAATGCTGGAGAAGGTAGTCTGCTACAACAGAGCACTTCCTGACACACACGGGATCTCAAGATGTACCTCTGCATTGTGGGGTGTCCCCAGACCAGGTCCCTGTGGCCATGCACTTGCGGCTCTTCGGCCCCATCAGCACAAACCCTGTCTGGCACGAGAAGGCACACGTGGAGCCAAAAGAAAAGTCGCCATGGAGGTGGGAGCAGGCAGCCTGGCCCATCTTGGGGCTGGCCAGTGCTGAGCATTTGATAGCTGAAAGAGTAGAGAGGCACACTTCAAAAAGGAGCCTGGGAGACTACATTGTTGGGACCAAGAGGCTGGGGAACATCCTAGTGTCACCCCAAAGCCAACAGCACCCTGAGCTCTAGCAGCAGCTCTACCTGCACAGCGTGGGGCATCCCCAGTCCATGTTCCTGTGGCTGCACACTCGCGGCTCTTGGACCCCTCCAGTGCAAACCCTATCTGGCAGGAGAAGGCACAGGTGGAACCAAAGGAAAAGTCTCCATGGAGGTGGGAGCAGTTCAGCTCTCCTCGATCTGGAGCACTGAGCACCGGGCAGGTGATGGCTGCAGGGATAAAGATATGCTTCAAGAAGTCTGGAGCCCACAAGGCTAAACTGTTGGGCAAGAGAACCAAGACACCAGAGAACATCCCAGGGTCACCCCAAGGCCTGTTACACTTCGAGCAGCAGCTCTACCTTCACAATGTGAGGCATCCCCAGTCCAGGTCCCTGTGGCTGTGCACTGACGGCTCTCTGACCCCACCAGTGCAAACCCCGTCTGGCAGGAGAAGGCACAGGTGGAGCCAAAGGCAAAGTCTCCATGGAGGTGGGAACAGTTCAGCTCTCCCTGGTTTGGAGCGTTGAGCACTGGGCAGGCAATGGCTGCAGGGATAGAGATATGCTTCAAGAAGTCTGGGGCCTACAAGGCTAAACTGTTGGGGCAAGAGAACCAAGACATCCAAGAACATTCTAGGGTCAACCCAATGCCTATGAGACCTTGAGCAGCAATTCTACCTTCACAGTGTGGAACCTCCCCAGTCCATGTCCCTGTGGCTGTGCACTCGCGGCTCTCTGACCCCATCAGTGCAAACCCCGTCTGGCAGGAGAAAGCACATGTGGAGCCAAAGGAAAAGTCCCCGTGGAGGTGGGAGCAGTTCAGCTGTCCTTGGTCTGGAGCACTGAGCACCGGGCAGGTGATGGCTGCAGGGATAGAGATAAACTTCAAGCAGAAGCCAGGGGACTACAAAGCTATACTGCTGGATCCAAGAGGCTGGGGAACGTCCTAGTGTCACCCCAAAGCCAACAGCTCCCTGAGCTCTAGCAGCAGCTCTACCTGCACAGCGTGGGGCATCCCCAGTCCATGTTCCTGTGGCTGCACACTCGCGGCTCTTGGACCCCTCCAGTGCAAACCCTATCTGGCAGGAGAAGGCACAGGTGGAACCAAAGGAAAAGTCTCCATGGAGGTGGGAGCAGTTCAGCTCTCCTCGATCTGGAGCACTGAGCACCGGGCAGGTGATGGCTGCAGGGATAAAGATATGCTTCAAGAAGTCTGGAGCCCACAAGGCTAAACTGTTGGGGCAAGAGAACCAAGACACCAGAGAACATCCCAGGGTCACCCCAAGGCCTGTTACACTTTGAGCAGCAGCTCTACCTTCACAATGTGAGGCATCCCCAGTCCAGGTCCCTGTGGCTGTGCACTGACGGCTCTCTGACCCCACCAGTGCAAACCCCGTCTGGCAGGAGAAGGCACAGGTGGAACCAAAGGAAAAGTCTCCATGGAGGTGGGAACAGTTCAGCTCTCCCTGGTTTGGAGCGTTGAGCACTGGACAGGCAATGGCTGCAGGGATAGAGATATGCTTCAAGAAGTCTGGGGCCTACAAGGCTAAACTGTTGGGGCAAGAGAACCAAGACATCCAAGAACATTCTAGGGTCAACCCAATGCCTATGAGACCTTGAGCAGCAATTCTACCTTCACAGTGTGGAACCTCCCCAGTCCATGTCCCTGTGGCTGTGCACTCGCGGCTCTCTGACCCCATCAGTGCAAACCCCGTCTGGCAGGAGAAAGCACATGTGGAGCCAAAGGAAAAGTCCCCGTGGAGGTGGGAGCAGTTCAGCTGTCCTTGGTCTGGAGCACTGAGCACCGGGCAGGTGATGGCTGCAGGGATAGAGATAAACTTCAAGCAGAAGCCAGGGGACTACAAAGCTGTACTGCTGGATCCAAGAGGCTGGGGAATGTCCTAGTGTCACCCCAAAGCCAACAGCTCCCTGAGCAATAGCAGCAGCTCTACCTGCACAGTGTGAGAAATCTCCAGTCCATGCTCCTGTGGCTGCACACTCGCGGCTCTCGGACCCCTCCAGTACAAACCCTATCTGGCAGGAGAAGGCACAGGTCCGGCTCTCGGACCCCTCCAGTGCAAATCCTGTCTGGCAGGAGAAGGCACAGGTGGAACCAAAGGAAAAGTCTCCATGGAGGTGGGAACAGTTCAGCTCTCCTCGGTCTGGAGCACTGAGCACTGGGCAGGTGATGGCTGCAGGGTAAAGAGACACACTTCAAGCAGGAGCCTGGGGACTATGAGGCTAAATTGTTAGGGTGAAAGGACCAAGACATCCAAGAACATTCTAGGGTCACACCAATGCCTATGAGACCTTGAGCAGCAATTCTACCTTCACAGCGTGTATCCTCCCCAGTCCATGTCCTTGTGGCTGTGCACTCGCGGCTCTCTGACCCCATCAGTGCGAACCCCGTCTGGCAGGAGAAGACACACGTGGAGCCAAAGGAAGAGTCCCCGTGGAGGTGGGAGCAGTTCAGCTGTCCTCGGTCTGGAGCACTGAGCACCGGGCAGGCAATGGCTGCAGGGATAGAAATAAACTTCAAGCAGGAGCCAGGGGACTACAAAGCTATACTGCTGGGGGTATAGCTGGGGAACATCCTAGTGTCACCCCAAAGCCAACAGCTCCCTGAGCTCTAGCAGCAGCTCTACCTTCACAGTGTGGGAAATCTCCAGTCCATGTTCCTGTGGCCGTGCACTCGCGGCTATCCGACCCCATCAGCATAAATCCCGTCTGGCAGGAGAAGGCACAGGTGGAGCCAAAGGCAAAGTCTCCATGGAGGTGGGAGCAGTTCAGCTCTCCTCGGTCTGGAGCATTGAGCACTGGGCAGGCAATGGCTACAGGGACAGAGATACACCTCAAGCAGAAGCCAGGGGACTACAAGGCTTAATTCTTGGAATTAAAGGACAAAGACACCCAAGAACATTCTAGGGTCAATCCAAGGCCAGTGACACCTTGAGCAGCAGCTCTACCTTCACAGCGTGAGGGATCCCCAGTCCAGGTCCCTGTGGCCATGCACTCGCGGCTCTCTGACCCCATCAGTGCAAACCCCGTCTGGCAGGAGAAGGCACAGGTGGAGCCGAAGGTAAAGTCCCCATGGATGTGGGAGCAGTTCAGCTCTCCTCGGTCTGGAGCACTGAGCACGGGGCAGGTGATGGCTGCAGGGCAAGGGTGTAGCTGGGGAACATCCTAGTGTCACCCCAAAGCCAACAGCTCCCTGAGCTCTAGCAGCAGCTCTACCTTCACAGTGTGGGAAATCTCCAGTCCATGTTCCTGTGGCCGTGCACTCGCGGCTATCCGACCCCATCAGCACAAATCCCATCTGGCAGGAGAAGGCACAGGTGGAGCCGAAGGTAAAGTCCCCATGGATGTGGGAGCAGTTCAGCTCTCCTCGGTCTGGAGCATTGAGCACTGGGCAGGCAATGGCTACAGGGACAGAGATACACCTCAAGCAGAAGCCGGGGGACTACAAGGCTTAATTCTTGGAATTAAAGGACAAAGACACCCAAGAACATTCTAGGGTCAATCCAAGGCCAGTGACACCTTGAGCAGCAGCTCTACCTTCACAGCGTGAGGGATCCCCAGTCCAGGTCCCTGTGGCCATGCACTCGCGGCTCTCTGACCCCATCAGTGCAAACCCCGTCTGGCAGGAGAAGGCACAGGTGGAGCCGAAGGTAAAGTCCTCATGGAGGTGGGAGCAGTTCAGCTGTCCTCGGTCTGGAGCACTGAGCACCGGGCAGGCAATGGCTGCAGGGATAGAAATAAACTTCAAGCAGGAGCCAGGGGACTACAAAGCTATACTGCTGGGGGTATAGCTGGGGAACATCCTAGTGTCACCCCAAAGCCAACAGCTCCCTGAGCTCTAGCAGCAGCTCTACCTTCACAGTGTGGGAAATCTCCAGTCCATGTTCCTGTGGCCGTGCACTCGCGGCTATCCGACCCCATCAGCATAAATCCCGTCTGGCAGGAGAAGGCACAGGTGGAGCCAAAGGCAAAGTCTCCATGGAGGTGGGAGCAGTTCAGCTCTCCTCGGTCTGGAGCATTGAGCACTGGGCAGGCAATGGCTACAGGGACAGAGATACACCTCAAGCAGAAGCCAGGGGACTACAAGGCTTAATTCTTGGAATTAAAGGACAAAGACACCCAAGAACATTCTAGGGTCAATCCAAGGCCAGTGACACCTTGAGCAGCAGCTCTACCTTCACAGCGTGAGGGATCCCCAGTCCAGGTCCCTGTGGCCATGCACTCGCGGCTCTCTGACCCCATCAGTGCAAACCCCGTCTGGCAGGAGAAGGCACAGGTGGAGCCGAAGGTAAAGTCCCCATGGATGTGGGAGCAGTTCAGCTCTCCTCGGTCTGGAGCACTGAGCACGGGGCAGGTGATGGCTGCAGGGCAAAGGGGCACATTTCAAGCAGAAGCCTGGTGACTGTGCGACTAAACTGTTAGGACCAAGAGGCTGGGGAACACCCTAGTGTCACCCCAAGGCCAACAGCACCCTGAGCTCTAGCAGCAGCTCTACCTTCACAGCGTGGGGCATCCCCAGTCCAGGTCCCTGTGGCCGTGCACTGACGGCTCTCTGACCCCACCAGTGCAAACCCCATCTGGCAGGAGAAGGCACATGTGGAGCCAAAGGCAAAGTCCCCGTGGAGGTGGGAACAGTTCAGCTCTCCTCGATCTGGAGCGTTGAGCACCGGGCAGGTGATGGCTGCAATGGGAGAGCAGATCTCAGAGACAGGATAGATGAGGTTAAATCTAGGGATCGGGGCTGAATCCCAATCGAACAAAACCAAATCTATGGTGATTAGTCTTTGATTTCTTTTTTCTTGTGCAGAGAAGTCTCACCTCTTCAAATACAGTCATCATGTACTTAGTACAATGATTTTTCTGCCATACGAGTGAATTCCTGGAGAGGGGGCAGTTTCTGCTCCTCCAGAGCCCTATTTATTTATCCCCTGCACTACCGTGAGTGGCACCCCGTCAAACGAGGAGCTGTGGCTTCTGCAGTCCTTCTTGCCTTCCTCCCTGGAGGGGAGCAGAGACCTGCCTCCATCCTTGTCAGGGCAGCAGGGGAAAGGACACCCAAGTGGCTTTGGGGCTGTAGGGGACCAGGATGGGATAACTGCAATAGCTATAAGGGTTGTGTGCCAGCCTCCCTAGGCTGTGCCTTGTGTGCTTTGCTGTGTGGTGGGGCAGCACCCAACGTTTGCTGGGGTGAGTGGTGGCCCTGCTGCCTGCAGGACCACTGCAGGTTAGGGCCACAGGGACATCAAACACCACCAGCACCCAGCCCAAGTGAGAGAGACCCCATTCCCTGAACTTTCTGCTTTCAGACTGGCACCAAACACTTTCCCTCGGTAGTCTTTTCCTTTCATAGCCATCTTACAGGCAAGCTGGGTTCCCCACAGGATCCCTGGAGATGCCTACCAGGGTCCCCAAAATCAAGCGCTGAGGCAGCCTCCAGCAGCTCTACCTTCTCAGCACAGGGGGAGACTCCTCCAGACCCCACTGGCTGTGCACTGCAGCCTCCACACTCCCTTTGGCTCAAACTTCTCCTGGCAGGAGAAGGCACACATGGAGCTGAAGGCGAATGTGCCATGAGGGTGGGAACAATCAACCTGTCCCCTTTCATGGACAGCCAACTGGGGACACTTGATGGCTACAGGCAGAGACAGGGTAGGGCATCTGAGGGCAGGGCAGGCAGCCTCATCCCTCACGGTGACTGCAGCACTATGAGCCTCACCACAGCAGGAACCTCTGCTCGTTTTTGGAGTAAAGCCAGCTGGCACTGCTCGCTAACGCAGCTTTGTTACCAGCAAAGGTGACATGGACCCTCTCATCCGATTCTTTGCAAAAGAGAGAAATCAATCATACGTACAGCCAGCAGGAAAAAACAATGAGCTGTGCTTTGGGAAAGCAAGCCTTCGGGAACTTGAAAAGCTTGGAGCGGGCAGACTCAGCCCAGCTTGTCTGGGGAAAATTCCACAAAATGGGGAGCCAGCTCCTGACCCTGCCACCGCTGGGGACGCTGATCATGGGACAGTCACATCATATCTCCATGCCCATTCCCCTTAACTGCAGAAAGCTTTGCTGGTCTCAGCTGCATAAAGCAAGTCCCAGGTTGGACCACAGGCACAGGTGCCATCGGCAGCACTAACTTCAAGCCAGGCTTTTTCTTTTTTTTTTTTTTTAATTTTAAATACATATAAACAGAGACCCTGCCCCCTGCCCCCTCCTGCTGGGTCTCCTGGTACAGAGGGTCTCCAGCTGTGTCCTGTGTCTGCTCCAGTCCTTGAGTCACCCCATCCTTGTGCAAGGCTGCAGATGCACCATGGAGCGGCACAGGGAAGGTGGAGCAGGGCTCTCACACCACCCAGAAAAGCCCAGCATCTTTCTGGAGTGCCTGGCACCTGGCTGCAAACCCTCAAGCCGCTGATGGGAAGACTTTCCTTTGCCATGCAGCATAATATACCACAGCTTTCTCTTCTTTGTGGCTTCCTGCCCTGCTCTGTCCCTCCCAGCTTATCTCTAACCTCATCTCACTAGTCCTCACCTCCCTTCCCTCCCCCGGCTTCCTGCCAGGATGCATCTTTCCCCTGGCTGTGGGGCAGCAGCCCCCCTTTCTCTCTCTCTCTAAAGACTCCTGAGATGCCAAGCACCTTCCCAAGGCGGATCAGGGTGGGCTTGGGGTAATGCAGATGGTGCCACAGGGGTGATGGAGGTGCCAAAGCACTATCCTGCCCCCACAAACGGTGCATGCAGGATGCTGGCACCTGGGCAGGGTTCAGGGCAGTGAGCAAGAGCACTGGGACATCCAGGGAGAGCAGGGGGCTTATCCAGATCTCACTGCCGCTCACCCATCACAGACTCATCAGGGAACTGCTCCCTCCATGCAGCATCAGAACCTGCTGCCCCAAAGGTCAGGGGCACGGCAAGCCCAGCCCATTGTTTGCCTGAGCAGCGTTAGCCCTATTTATTTATCCCCTGCACTACCCTGGGTTGCACCCCCCAGAACGAGGAGCCATGGCTTCTGCAGTCCTTCTTGCCTTCCTCCCTGGAGGGGAGCAGAGACCTGCCTCCATCCTTGTCAGGGCAGCAGGGGAAAGGACACCCAAGTGGCTTTGGGGCTGTAGGGGACCAGGATGGGATAACTGCAATAGCTATAAGGGTTGTGTGCCAGCCTCCCTAGGCTGTGCCTTGTGCGCTTTGCTGTGTGTTGGGCCAGCACCCAATGTTTGCTGGGGCAGGTGGCCCTGCTGCCTCAGGACCACTGCAGGTTACGGCCACGGGGACATCAAACACCACCAAGTGAGAGAGACCCTGAACCTTCTGCTTTCAGACTGGCACCACTTTCCCTTGGTAGTCTTTTCCTTTCATAGCCATCTTACAGGCAAGCTGGGTTCCCCACAGGATCCCTGGAGATGCCTACCAGGGTCCCCAAAATCAAGCGCTGAGGCAGCCTCCAGCAGCTCTACCTTCTCAGCACAGGGGGAGACTCCTCCAGACCCCACTGGCTGTGCACTGCAGCCTCCACACTCCCTTTGGCTCAAACTTCTCCTGGCAGGAGAAGGCACACATGGAGCTGAAGGCGAATGTGCCATGAGGGTGGGAACAATCAACCTGTCCCCTTTCATGGACAGCCAACTGGGGACACTTGATATTCTCCTGGCAGGAGAAGGCACACGTGGAGCTGAAGGCGAATGCGCCGTGAGGGTGGGAACAATCAACCTGTCCCTTTTCATGGACAGCCAACTGGGGACACTTGATGGCTACAGGCAGAGACAGGGTAGGGCATCTGAGGGCAGGGCAGGCAGCCTCATCCCTCACGGTGCCTGCAGCACTATAAGCCTCACCACAGCAGGAACCTCTGCTCATTTTTGGAGTAAAGCCAGCTGGCACTGCTCGCTAACGCAGCTTTGTTACCAGCAAAGGTGACATGGACCCTCTCATCCGATTCTTTGCAAAAGAGAGAAATCAATCATACGTACAGCCAGCAGGAAAAAACAATGAGCTGTGCTTTGGGAAAGCAAGCCTTCGGGAACTTGAAAAGCTTGGAGCGGGCAGACTCAGCCCAGCTTGTCTGGGGAAAATTCCACAAAATGGGGAGCCAGCTCCTGACCCTGCCACCGCTGGGGACGCTGATCATGGGACAGTCACATCATATCTCCATGCCCATTCCCCTTAACTGCAGAAAGCTTTGCTGGTCTCAGCTGCATAAAGCAAGTCCCAGGTTGGACCACAGGCACAGGTGCCATCGGCAGCACTAACTTCAAGCCAGGCTTTTTCTTTTTTTTTTTTTTTAATTTTAAATACATATAAACAGAGACCCTGCCCCCTGCCCCCTCCTGCTGGGTCTCCCAGTACAGAGGGTCTCCAGCTGTGTCCTGTGTCTGCTCCAGTCCTTGAGTCACCCCATCCTTGTGCAAGGCTGCAGATGCACCATGGAGCGGCACAGGGAAGGTGGAGCAGGGCTCTCACACCACCCAGAAAAGCCCAGCATCTTTCTGGAGTGCCTGGCACCTGGCTGCAAACCCTCAAGCCGCTGATGGGAAGACTTTCCTTTGCCATGCAGCATAATATACCACAGCTTTCTCTTCTTTGTGGCTTCCTGCCCTGCTCTGTCCCTCCCAGCTTATCTCTAACCTCATCTCACTAGTCCTCACCCCCCTTCCCTCCCCCGGCTTCCTGCCAGGATGCATCTTTCCCCTGGCTGTGGGGCAGCAGCCCCCCTTTCTCTCTCTCTCTAAAGACTCCTGAGATGCCAAGCACCTTCCCAAGGCGGATCAGGGTGGGCTTGGGGTAATGCAGATGGTGCCACAGGGAGACTTTCCTTTGCCATGCAGCATAATATACCACAGCTTTCTCTTCTTTGTGGCTTCCTGCCCTGCTCTGTCCCTCCCAGCTTATCTCTAACCTCATCTCACTAGTCCTCACCCCCCTTCCCTCCCCCGGCTTCCTGCCAGGATGCATCTTTCCCCTGGCTGTGGGGCAGCAGCCCCCCTTTCTCTCTCTCTCTAAAGACTCCTGAGATGCCAAGCACCTTCCCAAGGCGGATCAGGGTGGGCTTGGGGTAATGCAGATGGTGCCACAGGGGTGATGGAGGTGCCAAAGCACTATCCTGCCCCCACAAACGGTGCATGCAGGATGCTGGCACCTGGGCAGGGTTCAGGGCAGTGAGCAAGAGCACTGGGACATCCAGGGAGAGCAGGGGGCTTATCCAGATCTCACTGCCGCTCACCCATCACAGACTCATCAGGGAACTGCTCCCTCCATGCAGCATCAGAACCTGCTGCCCCAAAGGTCAGGGGCACGGCAAGCCCAGCCCATTGTTTGCCTGAGCAGCGTTGGGCACACAGGGCTGACCCCCACAATGCCCCATCCCTGAGACCCCGATCCCCTGGCAGGCCCTACCTGTGCAGGTGGGGATCTCTGCTGACCACTGCTGGGAAGCCAGGCATTGCAGGGTGCCCGCCCCTCGTCGCTCGAACCCCTCCTGGCACCCAAACGCGCAGGTAGAGTTGTAGCTGAAGTCTCCATAGGGATGGCTGCAGTTCATGTGCACTCCCCTGGGCTCCAGCTTGGCACACTGCACAACTGGGAGAGACGCGGCACCACCAGCCCGTTAGGAGCACAATGAACTTGCCCGTTTGCCCCTGGGGCTCAGGGTCTCCAGCAGGGAGGGAGGGATGGGGATGGATGGCTCACCGTGCTCGCACTCGGGGCCGTAGAAGCCAGGGTAGCACTCGCAGCGGTAGCTCCCGATGGTCTCCACACACTCGCCGCGCTGGCTGCACGGGAAGGGCTGGCAGGAGGCTGCACACACAGAGGACAGTCATGAGGAGCCACTGGCTACCCTGCCAAGGTCCCCAGCCCACCCAGTCCGGGTCCACTCTGCAGTCCCCCTGCTCACCCTTGTAGCACAACGCCTTTTTCTTACGGTTGCAGGACTCATCGTTCCACTTGCCCGACTCCTGCTGCCGCTTGATGTAGATCTCCACGCAGTCCTGGTTGGAGCGGCGGTTGTTGGGCTCCCCAGCTGCCCAGTTCTCTGCCTCCTTTGTCAGTGCCTTCCTGGTGCCCACCCAGGTCCAGGTGCCACTCAGCTTGCGGATGCCAATCCAGTAGTAGCGCCCATGGAAGGGCAGGCTCTTATTGAGGTACTCAATCTCCTGCTTGTTCTGGATTGCCACTAGGTCAGTGAAGAAGGTCTGGCAGTAGTTCCTGGCTTGCTCCCACGTGTAGTCTCCTTGGTCACTGTAGTGGTATGTCCAGGCACCCACCTCCACCCACGTCACTGTGCCTGCGAGAGAGACTGAGATCCAGGATTGACGCAGAAAGGATGGGAGCCAGGTTGGGGATGGGGTGCCTTGGGACATGAGGGTGGGCTAGGGCTGGCATCAGGGCCAAGAGATGCCAGCGACCAGCTGAGTGAGGGGACAGGAGAAAGGGCAGGTGTGGGTGATAATTGGGCTCTAAGGGCACATGGAGACCTGGGTGGATCAGGCATGGCAGAAGGAGCTGAGGTGGGACACAAGAAGATGGCACATGGATGAGGAAGTTGGGGGAGATGAGGTGAAGACTGAGACAAAGGGCAGCATGGGATGGGGTGATCAGAGCGCAGGTGGCAGAAGAGCCCCAAGCAGTGATGCCATCCCCTCCTCCAGCACAAGGGGAGAAAGCCCAGCCCCCAGTCCTGCTCCCCTGCCCACAAAGATTTCCAAGAAGGAACACCACATTTAGATGGTTCATTAAACATGGTTCCTTGTTGAGTGCAGAAGTGTACCATTTTGGTATTCTTGCTTTACGCTTCTACATAAGAGTCAGCTTGGAGCAAGGCAGAGCAACAAGCATGCCCTCACTCCCAACAGCATTTGGATCCCAAGCAGCTCATCTGAGCCAGAGATGGTCTTAAGAGTCTTGTAAGATTCAGTGTTGCAAAACAACGTCTTGCAAAAGTCAAGTTCGCATCCTGGTCATGCCCACCAGGCAGGGCAAAGCCAGAGAGTAACTGGAACCCACACCCAGAAGCGAAGGGCACTTTGTTGAAACCCTGCTCTTATTTACAGCATTTCACACCACAACTTGATGCAATCAAAGGGTTTTAGTCACAAAAAAACAACCTTCCTCCCTCCTCCCCAGAAGCAGGTACAACTTCTCAACTTAGACAATCTCCGCGACTGCAGGAAGCGATACAGGGATCATATCTCCAACTATGCAGAAAGTGAGATAGGGATCAAAGTTTGCTCCAAACAACTGGCTTGGGGTACCATGTATCTCAGGGGAGCATATCACACTGTGGTCATGCAGGCAAAGGTCTGGCCATGGCAGATTAGATGCAAGTCTAGGGCTTCCCAAGTGTAATTAGGGTTCTAGTTTGGTCAATAATTATGCATTTTTCTAAGCAAAATTCCCATAATTTGTCTGGTTTTCCTTGTGAAAGAGCAAACTATCCACTTTGTTCAACAAAAACAAAGCTGAGGAAAACGTGGTCTTCAACAACAGCCTTCCTCTTCACCCCTTGGGAGTTGGAGGCTGCAGGACAGAAGCTCAGGGCACCTCCTGGGAGCCTGCCCCAGCCTCAGCTCCCACCACTCACTGCCTCCCCAGCATGGCTCAGGGCAGCTGCCCTCGCACACCCCATCCCCAAACCACCAAGGACCAGGCAGCTCATCCACTACTTGCCCATGATCCATGCGCTCTCCTGTCCCTTTCCTCCAGCTCCACCAGTAACACCCTCTCTGCAGCACAGCTCATCCCCCTTCCTTCCCCTCAGCCTTATGTTACCTCTCCCTGCCCCACCTGGAGCTGAACGCCCACCTGGCTGCAGTTTGCCTGTGTCTTGACCCCTCCACTCCCCTGGCAGCCTCCAACCCCACAGGGTGCCCTCAGGGTCCCTTTGCGTTTTTGTTTTCCCCTGAGATCTAAAAATCTCAGCCTCCTCAAGGACCAGGCAGCTCATCCACTACTTGCCCATGATCCATGCGCTCTCCTGTCCCTTTCCTCCAGCTCCACCAGTAACACCCTCTCTGCAGCACAGCTCATCCCCCTTCCTTCCCCTCAGCCTTATGTTACCTCTCCCTGCCCCACCTGGACCTGAACGCCCACCTGGCTGCAATTTGCCTGTGTCTTGACCCCTCCACTCCCCTGGCAGCCCCCAACCCCACAGGGTGCCCTCAGGGTGCCTTTGCATTTTTGTTTTCCCCTGAGATCTAAAAATCTCAGCCTCTTTCCTCACACTTCTGCATTTACCTCCGCTCCTCAGCCCAATTATGAAAGGTCATTTGGAAAATAACCCAGCTCACAGGGGATTTCTAGGGACAGAGCAGTTTTGTTTTCCCCTGAGATCTAAAAATCTCAGCCTCCTCCTCACACTTCTGCATTTACCTCCTCTCCTCAGCCCAACTATGAAAGGTCATTTGGAAAATAACCCAGCTCACAGGGGATTTCTAGGGACAGAGCAGGCACCAGCAGGTCTTGCTCTGTGCGATGCCAATGTGTGAAGGAAATATCCTACAGGCAGCAAAACCAACTTAGTTTCTCCTCCAATTTCTTCTTCTGATGACAATTAGCAGCTTTAACCCCATGTGGCAGCAGCCCAGCTGTGCTCCCAACCCTTCCACCCGTGGATCCTGTGGTTACATCCATGCCCAGCTCCGTAGGCAGGGGGAGAGCTGCTGCTGCCTTTCTGCAGTTCACAGCACAACACGCTGTCACCACGCAGCATTTGGGGAACAAGACCCCCTGCAGGGATCCCCCACACGTGGCCTAGCCCTCCCCCAGGGAGCACGGTCCTACAATAGGTCTGGCTGGAAGGAGCTGGCCCAGGCAAACCCAGCTCCCTCCCAGGCAAGGAATCAAGCCCTGGGGCTGGCAGCCATGGGAGTGCGACTGATGGACCCCCAAAAATAACATTGCTTCCCTTCTCCAGTTTCCCAGACCTGCAGGCTCCTCAGCAGCAGGGTCACGCTGGAGTTATCGAGCAGGCAGCTTACCCCATGCGATGGCAGCGATGCCCAGGTAGCAGATGCCACGAGAGCCCAGAGCCCAGGTCCTCTCAGCAGACTGCAGTCCCGCAGCGGTGCCCTGCATGTCGGGGAGAGAGGTGTGAGCGTGCACGTCCCACGGGGGCTCACGCACCTCACCGTCCACCCACACCGCTGCCAGGTGGGTCCTGGTAGCCACAAGGACATGTTGCTTGTGCCAGCTCCCACACAGGTACGTGCGGTGCCACCAGCCAGGTACCAGGTATAGCTCTACTGCAGAAAGGTCACGTCCCGCAAGGCACTTTGGTGAGGGGGGTACCCACAGCAGAGCTGGGCAGGAGGCTGTGCCAGCAATGCAGTTCACTCCTGGGGAGTCCCTAAGTCCAGGGCATGCCCTGTGCCCCCCACCCCTCCCTGCCCACCCAGGGCTGGCATCTGCCTCTGCAGTGGCAGTGCCCTGTGTGCCTGGCATAGCCTTGCTGCCATGGGTCTCTCTGGGGCAGCCTGGGTCCTTTCCATGGGTCCCTGGCAGCAGCACAGCTTCCTGGCAGTGCCCACCCACAGCCCTGCCCTCCCCTAACCCCCTTTCCCAGGCAGACCCCGAGTCTTGCAAAAGTCAAGTTCGCATCCTGGTCATGCCCACCAGGCAGGGCAAAGCCAGAGAGTAACTGGAACCCACACCCAGAAGCGAAGGGCACTTTGTTGAAACCCTGCTCTTATTTACAGCATTTCACACCACAACTTGATGCAATCAAAGGGTTTTAGTCACAAAAAAACAACCTTCCTCCCTCCTCCCCAGAAGCAGGTACGACTTCTCAATTTAGACAATCTCCGCGACTGCAGGAAGCGATACAGGGATCATAACTCCAACTATGCAGAAAGTGAGATAGGGATCAAAGTTTGCTCCAAACAACTGGCTTGGGGTACCATGTATCTCAGGGGAGCATATCACACTGTGGTCATGCAGGCAAAGGTCTGGCCATGGCAGATTAGATGCAAGTCTAGGGCTTCCCAAGTGTAATTAGGGTTCTAGTTTGGTCAATAATTATGCATTTTTCTAAGCAAAATTCCCATAATTTGTCTGGTTTTCCTTGTGAAAGAGCAAACTATCCACTTTGTTCAACAAAAACAAAGCTGAGGAAAACGTGGTCTTCAACAACAGCCTTCCTCTTCACCCCTTGGGAGTTGGAGGCTGCAGGACAGAAGCTCAGGGCACCTCCTGGGAGCCTGCCCCAGCCTCAGCTCCCACCACTCACTGCCTCCCCAGCATGGCTCAGGGCAGCTGCCCTCGCACACCCCATCCCCAAACCACCAAGGACCAGGCAGCTCATCCACTACTTGCCCATGATCCATGCGCTCTCCTGTCCCTTTCCTCCAGCTCCACCAGTAACACCCTCTCTGCAGCACAGCTCATCCCCCTTCCTTCCCCTCAGCCTTATGTTACCTCTCCCTGCCCCACCTGGAGCTGAACGCCCACCTGGCTGCAGTTTGCCTGTGTCTTGACCCCTCCACTCCCCTGGCAGCCTCCAACCCCACAGGGTGCCCTCAGGGTCCCTTTGCGTTTTTGTTTTCCCCTGAGATCTAAAAATCTCAGCCTCCTCCTCACACTTCTGCATTTACCTCCTCTCCTCAGCCCAACTATGAAAGGTCATTTGGAAAATAACCCAGCTCACAGGGGCTTTCTAGGGACAGAGCAGGCACCAGCAGGTCTTGCTCTGTGCGATGCCAATGTGTGAAGGAAATATCCTACAGGCAGCAAAACCAACTTAGTTTCTACTCCAATTTCTTCTGATGACAATTAGCAGCTTTAACCCCATGTGGCAGCAGCCCAGCTGTGCTCCCAACCCTTCCACCCGTGGATCCTGTGGTTACATCCATGCCCAGCTCCGTAGGCAGGGGGAGAGCTGCTGCTGCCTTTCTGCAGTTCACAGCACAACACGCTGTCACCACGAAGCATTTGGGGAACAAGACCCCCTGCAGGGACCCCTCACACATGGCCTAGCCCTCCCCCAAGGAGCACGGTCCTACAATAGGTCTGGCTGGAAGGAGCTGGCCCAGGCAAACCCAGCTCCCTCCCAGGCAAGGAATCAAGCCCTGGGGCTGGCAGCCATGGGAGTGCGACTGATGGACCCCCAAAATAACATTGCTTCCCTTCTCCAGTTTCCCAGACCTGCAGGCTCCTCAGCAGCAGGGTCACGCTGGAGTTATCGAGCAGGCAGCTTACCCCATGCGATGGCAGCGATGCCCAGGTAGCAGATGCCACGAGAGCCCAGAGCCCAGGTCCTCTCAGCAGACTGCAGTCCCGCGGCGGTGCCCTGCATGTCGGGGAGAGAGGTGTGAGCGTGCACGTCCCACGGGGGCTCACGCACCTCGCTGTCCACCCACACCACTTCCAGGTGGGTCCTGGTAGCCACAAGGACATGTTGCTTGTGCCAGCTCCCACACAGGTACGTGCGGTGCCACCAGCCAGGTACCAGGTATAGCTCTACTGCAGAAAGGTCACGTCCCGCAAGGCACTTTGGTGAGGGGGGTACCCACAGCAGAGCTGGGCAGGAGGCTGTGCCAGCAATGCAGTTCACTCCTGGGGAGTCCCTAAGTCCAGGGCATGCCCTGTGCCCCCCACCCCTCCCTGCCCACCCAGGGCTGGCATCTGCCTCTGCAGTGGCAGTGCCCTGTGTGCCTGGCATAGCCTTGCTGCCATGGGTCTCTCTGGGGCAGCCTGGGTCCTTTCCATGGGTCCCTGGCAGCAGCACAGCTTCCTGGCAGTGCCCACCCACAGCCCTGCCCTCCCCTAACCCCCTTTCCCAGGCAGACCCCGACTCATCCCGAAGGAAAGGAGGACCTACCATGTCGGCGCTGCAGACGCAGCTTGCCCAGCTGCTGGCAGTGCCAGGGGCGTCTGGCCCTCAGCGGGCAGCGGTGCTCACACTTCCTCCGAGTGCACGGAGCATCGCTCCCTGCCCTCGGCCTCTTCCCCTCCCACCCCAGCCCCGCTGCCAGCCCGCATCCTGCCCCACACCCCCGCCTCCCCCACTGCAGGGCTCTCCCACCCCCAGAGACCCCACTCCCAGCCCGGGGATGGAGGAGAACAGCAGGCTCAGCCCTGGTTGTGGCACTGGAAGGATTCCACGCAGCACTTGCCCCGTGGCACGGGACCTGGGTGCATCCCCACGCTGCCACGGGCACATGACAGCCACAGGAGCTGACCCACAATGAGCTCCCCAGGAGGTGGAGAAGGTCCCCCCAGGTGGGGTCCAGTCCCCAGCCCACGGTGCCCAGGGCACTGAGACCTCTCTGACCCACCGTGACCATGTCTCAGAGCCCACGCTGGTGGTTGGAGGACGGAGGAGAGGTGAGGTGTGATGATCTCCCACGCGGGCTGAGCGGGAGCGTGGCTCGCAGCCTCCTGGCTCCTGTGCCGGATGCTCTCCTCTCTTACAGGCTTTTTGCTCTGGCTGTGAATCCTCATATACCGTTTATAAACAATTGCTTACACAATGTATTTTCCTGTCTTTGCCTTTAAATCTTTATGAGAAAGGTCCAAGAACATGCCAGAGAAAACTTCCCCTGAGTAGTTAATATCCTTTATTAACCTCCACCAATGCTTCAGGAACTGCCTCATTGTGTCCACCTCCCCTCGGATCATTCTTGAATCATAAATCTTTCCTTACCCTATTCTGCTTCTAATTAGAATTGCCTTGGCAGGGTTTTCTGCAGGAATTACTCTGCTCACTTCCAGTTAAAGCCAAAGTGAGACCCATGCAGGTCACATGCATTTTCCAGTTCCAGAGAAAAGGATGCTGCTCCAGTGGGACTCATGCTAGACAAAAGGAGGAACCCATCCCACGTAAACCGTAACCCACTACAATGAATTTATTCTTGGCCAATGTAAATGAAACTTGATTCCTGTCTCTGGATATCTGTCTTGCAAAATATTTTACTGCGATGATTGTCTATTTTTATCAAATTGCTGAGAATGAACTTGTATGTCCAGTAATTCAGGAGTGCTCACTTTCTAGCAGCATACACGCAGAGGGTGTGCAATTACGGCAAGGGAAAAGTCAGCCGGGCAGGCAGAGAGACTGAGGGGCAGCTGCTGGGGTAGAAGAGCATCTCCAGATGCTGAGGGTCACCGGCCCAGGGTGAGAGCTGCCTCTCCCATGCACTGGGAGACCCGCTGGGAGTCACAGGGGTGCTCATGGGTGCATGGCCCTCATGGGTGTAGTCTGTGCCCTTGCCAGTTTCACTTCTGCTGAAACCCAACATGGGAGGCTGAAGCAGTGGAAAAAAACTTATTGCCACCTTTATTTTTGTAACTAAAAATAGTTTCTGGTATTGTTTTAAAAGCAGAGGCAAGGTAGGTGCTGTTGCAAAGGGCAGAATGTGGTCAAGTTCAAAGCTGTTTTGTGGGGGCAGGTACCCCTTGCGCGTGGGTACCTGAGCTCGGAGAGGGGGTCCTACATGGCAGGAGGGCTACCAAGGGTTGCTTTGCAGATAGTGGAGAAAGGTTCATGTGGTGGGAGGGAGAGAAGACCCAAATCAGCTCTGCTGGGAGCTGGCTAATTGCCACGCGCCCTTTCTCATCTCAAGTGGTTTCCAAGGCTGGCTTCCTGGGGAAGGATTCAGGATGCTGCAGGGCACACGCTTCCTGCTGGGTTCCTGCTGCCCCACTTACCAGGGAAGGGCCAAAGTCCCTGTCTGACGGGCTGAGCAGCACAGGGGCTTCCCAAGCAGTGGGATGGCACATCCTGTCCCTCCCTGGCTGCCCTTTCGAGGGCACAGCGTAAGCTGCAAGCCAGGGCTTCGCTCAGCAGGGGCTCAAAGGAGCAGGTACAAAGGCGCTTTCCCATGTCACTTCCTCACTATCCCTCTGGGCCCTGCAGGGATCTGGAAGGGAATCACGCCTCCTTTGCTGTGCCCCAGTCCTGAGCCACAAATAGAGGTGATCCTCTCTCCCAAGAGCCCTACCACGGGCTGTATCTGTGACGAAGCAGGGTGTGATGCCACCACAAGTATCCCCACAGCTCTGGAGGCACCCAGGTGTGGATGGGATCCACAACACCAGAGGCTGTATGAGCTGTATGGGGAGGTGGGCACTGCCAGAGATGGGCAGATGCCCCAGGGCTTAACCTCAGCAGAAGCCCAGGGTCACATCCAGGCTGCAGCCCACAGTGTGTCCCCAGGGAGTGCACAGGACCAAGTGGAGTGAGAGCCTGGGGGCAAGGGGTGCAAGGGCCACCCCTTTCACCACCAGGCTGCACCCCCCACCCCGTGCAGAGGACGCTTGTGTTGTTTTTGGCAGAGGCTCCCGCCCCTGGTGGCACAGCCTGTTCCCTTCCTTGTGCAATGTCCCCCGGAAAACCGCAGAGGAACCGAGTCACCCTGACACAGCCCAGCCGGCTCGGCTGCTGCCAGTGATACAGTGGGCACCTTCCTGGGGAGTCCCCCTCACCCCTGCTGCCAGGGAGGGCTCAGCAGCACACTGGAGTGAGGAGGCACCTGGTGGGACCCCTGCAGGAGTATGGTGTGGTATTGGTGAGGACCCACACCTTGCCAGAGTGCAGCCCCGCTGCTGCCATCCCCCCGTGCCACCCTGGGGACCAAAGTGTCTCTCTCTGAGGCTTTAGAGGCACCTCCTGAGTTCAGAGTGGCACCCGATAAAATCTTTCTCACGACTTGAAAGTGTTTGGCCACGGGAAGACGCATTATCTGAGCTGTGCCTTGGCTTGCAGGGGGTGAGAGGGTTTTAAGGATTAGCTGGGACCAGAAGGATGAGAACACTTCCAAGACAGACCAGGGGCCATGTAACCCCATACACCCCCACCCCCAGGGACCTCGTGCCACTGGGGCAGCCCCGGCCGCAGCGGTAGTTTGGGGCAAATCACTCCTGCCCGCGCCACCCGGTCCCTCTCAGAGACATTTCTTTGATCTCATCTGCAGGACAGCTTTCTGCCTCACACCTTTCCCCTGCCACACGGGTGGTGGAGAGCCTTTTCACCGGGCACCGCTGCCAGCCGGGGACCCCTGGCCATGCTGCCTGCTGGCTCCCTGGCGCCTGGCAGCAGCAACACATGCGTGGCACAGATAAGGGCTTGCCAAACAGGATGCTGGGGGCATAGAAAACACCAGTTATCTTACTGCTGGTGTGGCAGGGAGTAAACAAGCGGCTCTGCCCACCCCGGGAATCCCCGGCAGAGCCTCTGCCCTGCCAGCAAGTTGGGGCACAGGATGGGTACGGGGTGATGGGGTACAGCTCCAGAGATGTGCTGCATCCAGGGGCAGCCCCGCAGGCAGCCCTTGCCCCAGGTGAGAGCAGAACCACCCAGCCTGCAGAGCTGCTCCTGGGAACTGTGACTGCTCTGCCTGCACCCTGCCTGGCTGCCCACAGCACCATGCATCCCTGGAGGGCTGGGACAGGCCACCGACCCGCCTTCCCTTGATGGCACCCCTCTTCCTGGCACAAGAGCGATACCTAGAGCTGTCACGGCAACTTGACGTGGAGGCATTAGCAGCCGATGGAGCAGGCCACCAGCACCACAGACATCACCAGTGGTCATTATGTATCTGGTTTAATGTAGGGATTTCAATCTTCTACTATCTCACAAAGCAAGCCCAGAGACAGATTCCTCTGTTTGTCACCTCCATCACCCTCTGCACACTATTGCCTTCTCCCCTCCCACCTGGCTCTTTGCAGCACGGGCTTTGTCCTCCCCTGCTCCCTGAACAGGGCCACCACAGCCCGCCCAGGGCCAGTGGATAAACATAATCAGCACCAAGAGCCAGATCTCCAGCCAGGGCCAGGCCTGGGCAGAGCAAACAATGTCCTCTCCTCCAGCCAGGAAATCCTGTGGAAACCACTCAGGCAGGCACCAAGCCCAGCTACGTTTTCCCTTGAGTCAGAAGCATCCTTAAGGACGTTCTTCTCCTTTTGGCAGGCTGGGGCTGAGCTTTCCTCTTCTCCTTCTCACCTCCCTGCTTCAGCGCAGCTGGCATTTTGATGCTTTCTCCCCCAGGATCTTGCTTACCTTTCTGCTCCAAGGAGCTACTGTGTCCTGCAACTTCCCAGTCTATTTAAATTGCTGAATTATTTTCTGCAGATAGGGCAGGTGCTGGCACAACATGCGTTTTAAAATCTTTTGTAGGTCTCAACCTACAAAAGGTAGATCTACAAACTGTTCTGCCCATGCTGTTGCAAACCATCAGGCTCTGCCCTTTGCAGTGTCCCCGGGGTACGTGACCCTGGGGACGGAGTAGCCCCGTCTGAATCGCTGCTGCTGTGGCCATTCAGCTCTTCAGGCACAGGGTCGGCAGCGCTTGCTGAAGTTGCCTCTCTCTAACAGTCCTGACTTTCGGGACAAGCCCCTGCAAGAAAAAAACAGAAGCTAAAATAATAAGGGGCAGGATGCTCCTAACCACCTGTTGTCACCTTTGAAATTAATTCCTCCTCCAACCTCTTGCAGCTCTGCTTTAAGAGCAAGATGGTTAGAAACACCAATTTAACTTCAGCCACGGGGCAGAGGGGTACAGGCTCTGTCACAGCTGAGCAGCAAACCCCAAAGGTCTTTTCTGCACTTTTCTGCTAGAAAATGGCAAGGCAACATAGGGAGCACTTTCCTACCTTCTTTTTATTTTTATTTTCCCTTAAAAGGAAAAGGACTGTTTTGTGAAAGGGCATTTCAACTGGCCTGAGAGGAGGCCAGGCAGGACCTTCTCCCTCCACCCATCCCTGCTGCCCTGCTGGGGAATCGGCTGTCCCAGCCCCACGCCGGGACCGTACCTGTCTCCTCAGGGGAGAACGGCATGCAGAGGGCAGCTCCCTGGTCTGCCCGGCTCCGACCGCAGCTGCCGACCCTCTGCCACCTCCGGCACTGTCACACCATCGTCACACGAAGGCTTCCCGGCACCCAGCAAGAGCTAGAAACCCGCTTTCGCTCCACGGGCGCTGATGTCCTTCGGCAGAGGCGTGGGGCCGGCAGCAGCGTCCGTCCCGAGGGACGCCGGCGCGGGCAGTGAGCGGAGTTGTGCCGGCTGCAGCGCCCGCACCCTCTGCTGCGGGGGTGCCATGAGGGTCCTGTGGGGGTGCTGGGGGCCGCTGCGGTGTGTCTGCTGGCTGATGGGCCATTGCTCTCCACGATGAGCCGGAGGAGCCCTGCCCCAGGGAAGTCCATGATGACCACTCCCCAGCGCACGGGCTGACCCCCCCGGCGCCGCAGGTGCTGGTAGCAGCGGGGGTTCACGAAGCGGGCCACCTCCTCGGGGCAGGTGAAGAGCCCGTTGCCGGAGCAGAAGGTGAGGTGCATGGTGGCGGGGTCCCCGCCGGCCGCCCTCTCCAGGTGCCTCCGCGCCCGAGCCCACTTGCGCTTCAGTGAGAGGACGTTCCAGGCGTCGCTGATGCTCAGCTGCTCGTAGGGGATGCCCAGCACCTCCCGCGCCAGCGCCTCCAGCACCACGATCTTTCCCCGCACCTGGCCCAGCGTCGGCACCTCCTCCCGGCACCACACGTGGCCCCGTCCTTCCTCCAGCAGGCAGCGGTGCAGCCGGGCAGCGAAGCCCGGCCTGGAGAAGATGGGCAGCTCCTCCTTGATGCGCATGAGCACGGCCTCGCCAGGGTGGGCGTGGAGGAAGCGCAGGGTGCGGCGCAGGACCCCCCGCAGGCTGGCCCGCTGGAAGGTGCAGAGGTGGTAGACCTGGAGCTCGCCCCGCGCCAGCTTGCAGCGCACGTCCAGGAAGCGGATGCCGGCCGCCAGCTGGGCCTCCAGGCCCCAGCTCTGGCACCGCAGGCGCCGGCCGCCGAACAGGCTGAGGGAGTCGTGGGTGCCAGGGATGGAGAGGCGGGAGAGGGGCAAGGCATCGGGGAGCCCCGCCATCCAGTCAGGGCAGCAGGCCGCCGGCTGGGGCATGCAGTCGAAGGCTGCGCTGTGCCGGCACCGCGCCTCCATGCCAGCAGGAGACTGGGCACCCCGGCACCTGGCCGGCCCCACCGAGCCCTGCCGTGGAGGAGAAGCAGGCTGTGAGCAGCGGGCATGGCCCCTACGCATCCCGATCCCACCCCTCCCCACAGGTATAGAATCACGAAATCCTAGAATTACAGAATAGTTGGTATCGGAAGGGAGAAATACAGGTCATCTACTCCAACCCCCCTGCAATGAGCAAGAACATCTTCAACTAGATCAGGTTGTTCAGAGCGCCGTCCAACCTGGCCTGGAATGTTTCCAGGGATGGGGCATCTACCACCTCTCCAGACATCCTGTTCCAGCGTTTCACCACCCTCATTGTAGAAGATTTCTTCCTTATATCTAGTCTAAATCTACCCTCTTTTAGTTTAAAACCATTAGCCCTTGTCCTATTGCAACGGGCCCTGCTAAAAAGTCTGTCCCCATCTTTCCCGTAGACTCCCTTTAAGTACTGGAAGGCCACAGTAAGGTCTCCCTGGAGCCTTCCCATTAGCCCTTGTCCTATTGCAACGGGCCCTGCTAAAAAGTCTGTCCCCATCTTTCCTGTAGACTCCCTTTAAGTACTGGAAGGCCACAGTAAGGTCTCCCTGGAGCCTTCTCTTCTCCTTGCTGAACAACACCAACTCTCTCAGCCTGGGTTGAAGCTGAGAGGTGCTCACAGGAGGGGCGCTCCAGGTTGAGGCTGAGAGGTGCTCACAGGAGGGGCGCTCCAGCCTTCTGATCATTTTTGTGGTCCTCCTCTGGACCTGCTCCAACAGGTCCATGTCTTCACTGTGCAGAGGACTCCAGAACTGTCCCCACCATCCCGTGAAACCCTGTAGCATACCACACACCCCATACACGTTGCTGCCAACACTCCGCACTGTCACACCATACGGTTCCCTTCCCACTCTCAAGCACTTGTCCCGCTGCCCCCAAGCCCCAGCGCGTCCCAGCCTCCCCCTCCTGTACCCACCTGGGTTTGCCTTCAGCCACAGGGTACAGCCACTGGACGGGGCGCACAGCCACGGGTGCCGGCGGCACACTGGCAGGTGGAGCGGGATGCTGGCCATTAACCCTGTGACAGTCGTGACGCGCATCCTGCCTCGCACACGGCACGTGCACCGGGGATTCATCCTCAGCCCTCGGCCAAGGGAAACGCTCAGCAGACACGCCGGGCTGGAAAATCGCCTGGCTGGTCCCGAAAGCAGCCATTCAGGCCTCTGCACCTCCCTCTCCAGGAATCAGGACAAACGGGATCGGGGTGCCGCGGGGGCCCCTTGACACTACCCTTGGGAGTGGCTGCGCAGAGCCCCCGGGTGCCCATGACCCGCTCCAGAGCCATGCCCCAGTGGGCTTGGACCTCTCTGGCAATGGTTGCCATCATCCCCATCCCTGTCCAGGCAGGGATCTGAGCAGGGGGCCTGTACTTGCCAGCTGTTACGATTTGAGGAACTCACAACAATTTAGTGTTGTTTAGACAATTCTATCACCCGATGACACCGTCCCACCTAGGAAGGGGAATCAGGGGGAAAAAAACAAAACCCGAGGGTTGAAATATAAATATATTTACTAGACTAAGACTAAATAATTAACATTAATAATACTAAAGAACCAGTATTGATCCCAATACCATTATAAAAGATACATGGATTATACTCAGCCAATTCTATCAGCGGGAAGCTGTGCACTCCCAGCAGCGGATGGCGAACGTTGAGATCCCAATACCATTATAAAAGATCCATGGGTTATACTCAGCCAATTCTATCAGCAGGAAGCTGTGCACTCCCAGCAGCGGATGGCGAACGTTGGGCACTGTGAATGCTACGGCTTCGGGAGGAAGGGAAGGGCTCAGGGGTCCAGCACCAGGGCAAGAAGTTCTCAGGATCACAGCCCTAATAGAACATAGAGAGCTCAGCAAACCTTCTAATTTATATTGAATGTGACGTTCGTGGTATGAAATAATCCTGTAGGGCAACTTGGGTCAAATGCCTGGGTCTTGCTCCTCCTCATCCCCGCAACTGGCAAGGCTTGAAAATGCCGAGACCTTGAATGCCACATACCAGAGCTGCCTATCAAGTAAATATTTTCATTAATTCAGACACCAAAGTCTTCTAAAAGTGCTGTTTTCCCAGGCATTAGAAGAGAAATTAGTCCTTTTCATTAATTCTGACACCAAAGTCTTCTAAAAGTGCGGGTTTCCCAGGCATTAGAAGAGAAATTAGTTCTGCGTTGCTCAAACCGGGACACCAGCACATGCCAGGACCTGCTCAGCGAGGGTCCCCCGGAGAAGTGGGCTCCATCCCTTCGCTCCTCAGGCACCGGTGGCTGCCTCCCACCGGAGTCGCCCCGAGGGTGCTGCCGGTGGCCAGGGCTGCCGTCACCGGTGGGGTGCGAGCCCCACGGCTGTGGCAGGGCGCGGGGCTGGTGGCTCACCTCCTGCCCTGGGGACACAGCTCACCGGGCACAGGGGGGTTCGGGGAGGAGCCGCCCGGCAGGTCCCAGACCCCTCCCGGGACGCACCCTCCGCCCGGGCAGGGAGGGCACAGAGATCCTCCTTCTGCCGCGGGGACGCGGTGCGGAGGGACGGGATAGGGGCAGGCGGCCCTCCCTGCGCGGTGCGGGGAGCGGCGGAGAGGCGGAGGGGGGCTCCCCTGGGGGGACAAAGAGACCCTGCGGTCTGCCCGAGCAGCACCCCCCCAGCCCCTGAAAAAGGCCCGTGTCTCATCCCCCGCCGGGAAGAGGCCGGCTCTCCCGGCAGTGAACCCCGGGCAGGCGGAAGAGAGGCCGGGCCTTGGCGCGGCCGCTCCCGACCCGGGCCCGCCCGGCCGCCCCGGCTCCTGTGGGCATGGCGGCGACGGGCGGCGGCGGTGGCGGCGGCAGGGCCTGCTTCGTGCTGGGCGCCTCGGGGGCGACGGGTCGGGCGCTGCTGCGGGAGCTGCTGTCCCGGCGGCTCTTCGCCAGGGTGACGCTGGTCGGGCGGCGCCGGCTGAGCCTGGACGAGGAGACGGAGGCGGCCGTGGTGCGGCGGGGACCGGGGGGCGGCGGGGGGCGGCCGGGGAGCGGGGTGCTGACCCTCGGGTCTCCCCGCAGGAGCAGGCGGTGGTGGACTTCGAGCGGCTGAGCGAGCACGCCGCCGCCTTCCAGGGACACGACGTTGGCTTCTGCTGCCTGGGCACCACCAGGGCCAAGGCTGGAGCGGTGAGTGGGATCCCCCCCACACACACACACACCCCGGGTTCCCCGCCTGCCCTCTCCCCCCCGCCATGCCCACCCTTCTTCTCTGCCTTTACCTGCAGGATGGCTTTGTCCGCGTGGACCGGGATTATGTCGCGCAGGCGGCCGAGCTGGCACGGGCAGGGGGCTGCAAGCACTTCGTCCTGCAGTCCTCCCAAGGGGCAGACCATCAGAGTCGCTTCCTCTACCTCCGTGTGAAGGTGAGGGGGCAGCTGGGGTGGGCTCCTCCTGGGATGCTCGGGAAGGAAGCAGGAGTTGAGGTGTCAAGAGATGCAGATGGCTGTGAGGGTCCTCCTGGTGCTGGGGAGGGACAAAGGGGTGAGAGAAAGGGTCTGGCAGGACAACTGCTTCATCCAGAGCAGCACAGTACCCGTATGCAGCATCCATCTCCCTCTTCAAACCACCAGAAAGACCCACTAGGGTCTCTAGCCCAGTCCCAGCACCCCACAGCTATGTGGGGAGGCTCAGGGCTGTGTCCAGGTGAGATGTGAACTGTCGAGGGGTAGAGAACCCACAGGCTCCCCGGGTGGGACCATACCCATCATGAACTCGATGATCTTTGAGGTCCCTTCCAACCCTAACCATTGATTCTATGATTCTATGCTGCAGCCCCCAACATCTGCTGGACTCACTGCAGTCTCCCAGTGCTGGACACTGTGTCCAGGTGGGGTCTGAGGAGCATGCAGTTGCAGTTGGCGTGATGGTTGCAAGGGTGCGCTGCTGACTAAGCGGTCAGTGTGTCCACCCTGGACACTCGCCCCACGCTTCCTTTCCCTGGAGAGCTGCTCGCTGCCCAGGCGGTGCCCGGCTTGTCACTGTTGGCGTTAGTGCCACCCTGCCCACGGCTCAGCAGCTCTCTCCTGCGGATTCACGGCGCGGCAGGGACGGTGCTTGCAGTCACCCTTGTCTTCTTTCATTCCGCCCCACTGCTCTGATAGGGAGAAGTGGAGAACCTGGTCCAGGCTGTTGGGTTTGACCGCTGTACCATTCTCCGGCCAGCGTGAGTAGCGGTGGAGGATGGAGGGCACAGGACTCGGGTGGTGGGTTGCCAGGGCAGCAGGCTGGAAGATGGAGAGAGAGAGAGAAAGGATGCATAAGGGGAGGGCTGGGGAGGGAAGTTGGAGAAAGCCACCAGCTGCAGATGCAGCTCCTGGATGAGCACACTGCTTCCCAATGCTGCAGGGAGGAAGCACAGCAGTTGCCCACGGCCCATCCCACGTGCCACGCGCCGGGATTATGTCGCGCAGGCGGCCGAGCTGGCACGGGCAGGGGGCTGCAAGCACTTCGTCCTGCAGTCCTCCCAAGGGGCAGACCATCAGAGTCGCTTCCTCTACCTCCGTGTGAAGGTGAGGGGGCAGCTGGGGTGGGCTCCTCCTGGGATGCTCGGGAAGGAAGCAGGAGTTGAGGTGTCAAGAGATGCAGATGGCTGTGAGGGTCCTCCTGGTGCTGGGGAGGGACAAAGGGGTGAGAGAAAGGGTCTGGCAGGACAACTGCTTCATCCAGAGCAGCACAGTACCCGTATGCAGCATCCATCTCCCTCTTCAAACCACCAGAAAGACCCACTAGGGTCTCTAGCCCAGTCCCAGCACCCCACAGCTATGTGGGGAGGCTCAGGGCTGTGTCCAGGTGAGATGTGAACTGTCGAGGGGTAGAGAACCCACAGGCTCCCCGGGTGGGACCATACCCATCATGAACTCGATGATCTTTGAGGTCCCTTCCAACCCTAACCATTGATTCTATGATTCTATGCTGCAGCCCCCAACATCTGCTGGACTCACTGCAGTCTCCCAGTGCTGGACACTGTGTCCAGGTGGGGTCTGAGGAGCATGCAGTTGCAGTTGGCGTGATGGTTGCAAGGGTGCGCTGCTGACTAAGCGGTCAGCGTGTCCACCCTGGACACTCGCCCCACGCTTCCTTTCCCTGGAGAGCTGCTCGCTGCCCAGGCGGTGCCCGGCTTGTCACTGTTGGCGTTAGTGCCACCCTGCCCACGGCTCAGCAGCTCTCTCCTGCGGATTCACGGCGCGGCAGGGACGGTGCTTGCAGTCACCCTTGTCTTCTTTCATTCCGCCCCACTGCTCTGATAGGGAGAAGTGGAGAACCTGGTCCAGGCTGTTGGGTTTGACCGCTGTACCATTCTCCGGCCAGCGTGAGTAGCGGTGGAGGATGGAGGGCACAGGACTCGGGTGGTGGGTTGCCAGGGCAGCAGGCTGGAAGATGGAGAGAGAGAGAGAAAGGATGCATAAGGGGAGGGCTGGGGAGGGAAGTTGGAGAAAGCCACCAGCTGCAGATGCAGCTCCTGGATGAGCACACTGCTTCCCAATGCTGCAGGGAGGAAGCACAGCAGTTGCCCACGGCCCATCCCACGTGCCACGCGAGGAGAAGAGGCTTGGGTGGGAAGCAGAGGTTGGGGGACGTGTCAAAGCTTATCTCAGACAGAGAAGAGACACAGCTTGACCTTTTGCAAGGGGAATACTCACCTGTATCCTCCCAGCTCTTGCTGCCCGGCAGAACTGGCATCCTGGATTTGGCAACAGTGCTGGGAAAGTAGATTAGCATCCCAAGGCTCAGCTCAGTCACGTTTTCTGGACCCTGCCAAAGCCCCACAGCCGCCATGTAGGGTTTAGCAAGCTGGGCTGGGTCCTTGGCCCAGTTGGAGAACCCAGTCCCTAGCTTTTCCCCGGGGATGGTTTCAACCTGACACACCTTACCTCCTCCCTCTGCAGGGTGCTGCTGTGCAAGCGCCAGGAGTCTCGCCCGCTGGAGTGGATGGCCCAGCAGTTTCTGGGTGTTGTGGCTTGTTTCTTCCCCACCGCTTACTCGGTGCCTGTGGAAACGGTGGCCAGGGCTATGGTGGCCAGTGTGCTGCAGCCGGGCAAGGGGAAGGTGGAGGTGCTGGAGAACGTGGCCATCCACGCGCTGGGAAAGGCAGCGCCACTGCAGGGCACGTAGAGCAAAAGGGAAGGGCAGGAAAGAGCTTGATTCACCATGCAGGTGCTCTTCAGGGGGGAGGATGAATGCACCTGTGGGAGAGGAGTGGGATGCTTGCATGGGTAATGTGGAGGTAGAGGTGCACTTTGCATGGCAGCTGGTTCTAGCAAGCAATCAAAAATGAGGTGCTGGCTGGTGGGTGAGGAGAAACAATGTGCTGTGCTGCCCGAATCCAGCACACAAATTCGGGTAAAAGTGGTTAATCCAGGCAATTTCTTGAATTCATGTCTTAAATAAATCCTATGACTGGTCTGTTTGTGCTAACTACATGTTAAAATTGTGTTTGTCTCCTGCCTGTTGCCAGCCCAACCGCAGCTGTTCACAGATTGTAACTTTTGGTGACACTTGAAGGAATGCAGGGGGCAGAGATGGCACCCAGCTGCCAGCGCTGCGGCTGCACCCCACAGAGCACATGGTGGCACCAGTGCCACTTGGATATCAGAGTTCCTGGAAGCTCAGCAGCAGTTGCTGAAGTTCCTGGGGCACTGGCTCTGCCCGCACTAGGTCTCTGCCTGTGCCTTCTCCTCACTGATCTTCTCTGGGATCAGAGGGGCTGCTATGGTTCGCAGCCAGGCTGTCACTTGAGTACCTATAGCTGCATAAACACCATGCAAATATGTGCAGTGACTTGAAAACTCCTGTCACCGCTGGTTCCTCCAGGCTTTCCTTCCAGACACAAGTGAACTGGGGTTTCAGCCCAGTTTCAAGGGTGCTCTGCATGTGCTGGAGGTGAGGCCAGCCCCGTGCACATCTCGGGGTGGGGTTGCCCTTACCCTGTGCTGCCCCAGTGCTGGAAGGGGAGCAGGTCCCTGCTGCAGGCACAGAGCAGGCTCGAGGAGCAGTGCCGTGTCCCAGCTATGGCCCTGGCCGTTCTCAGGCCTTCTCCTTGGGGTCGAGGAACTTGGCGGCTCAGCAGCTGGGATGCAGGACTTACGTGACTCCCGAATTCCCAGCTGGCCAGAGTCCCAGTGCTCTGGGTAATGCTGCTTTCCAGGGTTTTCTCCTCTTCGACCTCATCCGTGGCTCCTGTGTCGTTGACTTGGATGCAGCAAGTGGGGGGAGCTGGGATCCCCTATCTCCTTCCTCCTACACGAGTCTTTTAATAATTGGGCTGGGGCTCAGAAGCTCAGCGGAGGCAGTGGGGTGGTGTAATCCCACACTCTGTGTTACCCGAGTGGTTCCTGAACCATGCACAGAGAGCTTAGTTCAAAGGGAACAAATGAGGAGCCACAGAGCCATAATTACTGATCAGACTGTCCTGGTGAGAGCAAAAGCGGTAACTTTAAAGTAATATTTTATGTCAAAAAGGAAATAAGAGGTAGGCTGGCCTTAAAAAAGGTGATGTGCTTATACAAGGGAGTGGAAACGAACACCTGAAGTGGCAAGACCTTAAAAGAAGTGGAAATTGCACACAGATGAGAGAGTGAAAAAAGCATACAAGCTCTGGAAAGTTGCAGGTGAAAGGCAGGCCACAGAAGATTTGAGGAAAACATCTTAAAGGCATAAAAATTAGTCATGGCAATGTGAGAAGCAGAAAGCTCTCCAGAGAGTTGTGGGGACGGGACATGATTAGGCTCTATGAGAAGAAAAGAGCCGTCATGGAAAAGCTTGGTGAGTTACTTGTGTTGGCCTTTGCTGTGAAGGAGCTCACACTAGGTTCATTCCTTAGGGGACACACATTTGCATGACTGTCCCAAGGCACTGGGGAAAAAAAAAAAAAAAAAGAGAAAGATTCTGTAAGCCTATTTTTAGAATACATGGTTAAAAATCTGCCAGAAGGAGTGCTCAGATGAACTGCCAAATGCTCACCTGGGTGACAATTACAGTGATCCCTCTACCAAGAAGCCAATGTCGTTAAATATGATGCTAATTTTTAAAACGTTCTGGTGGGAACCAGGAAACTGCAAAGCAGCGGGGCTGCCTTCTATAAAAGGCAAGTTGTTAGAAAGGATAATAAAGTCTTGAAATAACGGAGCCAGGATAAATCTGGTGTAATGGGAGATTCCACGTGGCTTTTGAGGGGGCAGTTGCAAGGCACAAACCTAGAGTGCTCTTGAAGGAAACTAGCCATTGTGTACACAAGACAATCTGGCCCTTCGAGCAGACTTGGATCTCCAAAAAAGCTCTCCCAGAAGGGCTCTTAAAGAAATTAAGCTGTCGTGGGAAGAAAAGGAAGGTCTGGGTAGTTTCTTATTGGAAATATTTTCTTTGCACTCTAAAGCCTTGAAATGCTCAAACCAAACATTTCTTACTGGACAAAGGTCTGCGGAAAATACAAGCTATTTCTGTGTAACCCTTGTTTCTGCTCAATGGTATACAGTTTCTTTTTCGGTGTTTCACATAAGTCTCTGCTAAAATGCCCAACTGCAATCCCAGTGCATGGACTGGCTTCCTTACGACTCTCTCACGTGAAGCTTCATCGCTCATTTTGGACCTCAATTTCCCCGACTTGCTCCGTGCCTTCATTAAACTCCCACTCCTGGGACTGTGGAGTTCTACAATCTTTTGATTGTAGAGCATCGGTCGCTGAACTATGGCAGAGCCACAGGACCAAGGGAGTTACCTGCCCAGGACTGATAGAGGTAAAGCAGGTAAAAGTCTTTAGGGGACAGAACCAGCCCCTCCACGGGGTCTCAGAGGGCAAGGCTCCAGGCGGCAGGAGCTGTGCAGAGCTGGGTGCCTGGAGAGGCTGGCTGTTTTCCAGGGGCACCAGCCTGGAAGGAGAGCACGTACGGCGTGCTCGGTGGCTGCTGGACAGCATTCGCACAAACCGCCTGATCCCACAGATCCGACTCCCCTGGGATCTCCAACGCTGACTTTATTACTGAAGATTAATGAGAAAAAAATAGCTGCATTCCCAATGGCTGGGCAGCCGAGTCGGAGGCTGCGGGGGTTTCCCATGTGGTCCCATGGCCCCGCTGCCCTTCCCAGCCCCGCGGCTGGGAGAACCACCGGCACTGCTCTCCCACCCCTCGCTGCCCTCTGCTCCCCTCCGGGTCAGGGGATGCCCAGCCAGCTGGCAAAGCACCCTGCAAACAGCACCTCGGCTTCAAAGGGGCCTTTCAAAGCACCCACCCAGCTGGCAGGCACCCACCTGGCACTGGGGATACCCTGCTGGCAAAGGAATGGCCCTGACACACTCACTAGCCCCATGGGCAGCCAGCATAACCCAACAGCCCAGCCAACCCTGCAAGGCTGCTGTGTCTCCAAGAATTTTTTTTTTTTGGGGGGGGGGGGGTGAATCTGCCTTGTAAAAGAAATTGTTCTCCAAGAGACCATGCAGATTTCTGTGCTTGCAGGACAGCTTAGTCCCTTGCCTTGCAGGGGGGGTGTGCAATGGGTTCCCAGGGATGCTCTGGGGACAGTGCTCCAGTGTCCCTTGGCGGGGGACCCTCATCCCTTCCTGTCCTCCAGTTTTTGCTCAAGAATTTTTTTTTTGTGGGGGGGGGGGGAGCAGAAGGGGGCTGCACCCCTGTTCCAGGGAGATGGGGCAATTGGGCTACCCCCAAACTGGTGTGAGGCACCTTCATGATAATAACAGAAGCCCCTCCCAACTCCTCTGTGAAAAGGGCAAAGCGATAGCAGCTCACAAGGGAGTAAAGTACCTCCATCCTCTGTGGCTGCTGCTCTTTCCTTCCCCAGGCTGGTGGGCACATCGGTGCTGGGCAGCAGGAAGGGGCAGTCCCCCATCCGGCAGGTCTGGTACCCCTGCTTGGGTGCATCTGAGGGTCTGTGATCAGCACAAACCTAGGGAAATTTTAGGATGTACTTTTCACATTCCATTTCCATTACAACCCCCCAAAAAGCTAACCCAAGCTCTCCAGGGAGAAATGGTTTCTAGCAGACTTTTAGCTTTCACTTACTGCACTCACACGCTGAAATTCAGATGTTTGCTGCATAGTCCTAGAAGAGCAGGAGACAGGATTACCAGTGCAGGTCCAAAGTCCATCCAGAAGCCAGAGACAGGCACACTTCTGACACCACTCAGAGAGGGAAGGGAACCCAGTGCTGAGCCTAAATGCAGCCCCAGTCTGAGGGGGCAGGTGGGGCTGGTCAGGGCAATTAAGGCCATTAGTGCCCTTGGAGTCTGGACAGCCAGGTTGTCAGCAAGGTCTGCTCCCAGCTCCGAGCTGTAGGTGTTAAGCAAAGCACTTAAAAGCACATACTTGGTCACCCAAGCAGCTCAGGACAAGGACAAGCATGTGGTAGATTTTAAGAGTGAACCCAGAGCCCACACCCCGCGCAGGATGCCCAGGGGCTGCCCTGGCTGGGATGGAGCAGGAGGTGAAGGCAGAGCAGAGCCTCACACCCTCTGTGAGCCTGTGCCAGAGAGGCTGTTATTGCACAGACACCACTGTGGGCTGGAAAAGACCTGTGTTGCTGTAAGTCCTACTATACAGATTGAGAAAATGTTGGTGCTGATGCCCCGAGAGCTGCCCTGTGTGTCTTTGAGGGCTTTCCCCTTGTGCTGGCTCTAGTCTGGCCATACAGACCCGGGTGACGAGCTGTGCCACAAGGTGACACTGCCAAGGATGGACTGGCACATCCCAGCTGGAAGCCAAGAGGGAAACATCTGGGATGGCTGCAGTTACCCTCTCCGCTCCAAGCACCGCTAAAGAGTGTTAGGGGTGACTCCTCCTCCTGGGGGGCTGTGGGGAGTCAGGACTTTGGCTACAGGGCCCCTCAGAGCCAGGCTGGTCCCCATCTTTGCCATGATTTGCCTCTCAGCAGGCAGCATCGCTCTGGGGTTGCACTGACACTGTGCCTGGCTGAGGCCAGGAGGAACTCATGCCACAGATGTCATGACCATAGGCAGGCACTGGCTCCGTGATTGAGAGTTTTAGTGGAGTAATCAAAGAGATCTCACCCGAGCAAACCTGAAACACTGTGACGCTGTGCAGCACCCAAGCTTTAGGTGGGTGAGGGGCTGCATCCCAGTGGGGCAGTGATGGGGCAGAGCCACACAGGGGGAGGCAGAGACCAGTCCCTGCTCAGATCCCACATCCCACGTCACAGGAAGCTCCAGGCTGTGGCGTATGTTTTGCTGCTCTGAAAGGGAATGGAAAAAGGGTCCAAATTTTCCACTTAGCAAAGTTCTGGGTGGGAATCCTTTTTGGTCTCGTCAAAGTGTCACTGTCAGATGAAAACAGAACATTTGTTATGGTTAAAAGATTATTTTTTTTTAAGCTTACACTGAAATGAATTTTTTCGGGAACAAAAGTCACTGCTACCCACCAGCCGATAACTGCTCTGGAAGCTGTGGAAATTTTGACGTTAGCCACAGCCTTTAAATCAACAGCAAGACTTCTCCTATGCACTTTTATTTTTATGGAAGTGACATTTTTCACTGAAAATAACCTCACTTGAATGAAGCATTTCTACCTGACTCTTCTAAATACTGACCCAGGGCCTGATATATCATTAAAAGGAAACCCTGTGGGCTTCCTGAAGCACCCCCAACAGCAGCTTGGCCCTTCCAATTTGATTACCTGAGCTCACCCCAGCAAAACTACTTTTTTTTTCCCCCCCGTGCAAGCTTAGAGAAGAGAAAACAAAATCCAGAAGCTGCTGGGGCCGGGGCCAGCTGCGGCGGGACAGACGGCATTGGTTACGGGGCTGGCGGGGGTCCAGCTCCCGGCGCTATATAGGAGGGAGCTGGGCTGCAGACAGAGCCACTGCTGCCTGCTTTAGCCATCGCTCACACTCTTCTCGTGGCCGAGGATAACTACAGCCTGCCAAGATGTGCAAAGGATTAGCAGCGCTGCCCCACACGTGCCTGGAGAGGTGAGAGCGGGCAGCTGGCGCGGGGATGCTGGGGCGCCTGCCGCCCTGCAGGGCTCTGCCAGGGGAGGCTGGGCACAGAGAGGCTCTTCCCCAGCACATCCCCATGATGGACACCTTTTAGGGAGTCTGGGATCACCCAGCTCTGAACTGGGAGGGAAGGGAGGCTTGCTGGCAAGGGGGGGCTCAGTGGGATGCTGTGGGTGGCTGGGACCCTCTGGAAACCCACTCCTCAACCTCAATGCGTAGGAGCGCGTTACCCTCAGGCTTTAATGTTTACAAAGCATGGGAGGGAGGAAAAAAGCAGGAAAGTGGGTTGCCTTTCTGAGATGAACCCAGCCCTGGCTCCCAAGTGCCTCAAAATCCTCTTTAAGTGCCTGCATCTCCCTCTCATGCAGATTAATCAGCCCTGGTCCGCCCTGCAGGGCTCTGCCAGGGGAGGCTGGGCACAGAGAGGCTCTTCCCCAGCACATCCCCATGATGGACACCTTTTAGGGAGTCTGGGATCACCCAGCTCTGAACTGGGAGGGAAGGGAGGCTTGCTGGCAAGGGGGGGCTCAGTGGGATGCTGTGGGTGGCTGGGACCCTCTGGAAACCCACTCCTCAACCTCAATGCGTAGGAGCGCGTTACCCTCAGGCTTTAATGTTTACAAAGCATGGGAGGGAGGAAAAAAGCAGGAAAGTGGGTTGCCTTTCTGAGATGAACCCAGCCCTGGCTCCCAAGTGCCTCAAAATCCTCTTTAAGTGCCTGCATCTCCCTCTCATGCAGATTAATCAGCCCTGGTCCCTTTCACGATGCTCGGCTCTGTGCAGAATATCTGCTCTACCCAGCTCATGGCACCCATCCTCATCTTCATCCCCCTCCACCCCAGCACTCATCTTGAAACCTGCCCAAGGTGATGGTGGTGCTTTTCCCAAGCTGCTCTCACCCCTTGGCAACCCAGGCAAGCTCCAGCCCTTTCCATGCTGATCAAAACCTGCCCCCTGATCCCCAAGCTGCTCTCACCCCTTGGGAGCCCAGGCAAGCTCCAGCCCTTTCCATGCTGATCAAAACCTGCCCCCTGATCCCCTCCTGAGGAACTGGAGGGGCTTTGGAGGGGAACCCGTGAGAAGCAGAGATGCAAGGGGGGGCCATAGCATGAGGCTGAGCTCTCCCTGCAGCAAGAGCACGATCGATCCTTCACCTGAGGAGGAAACTTTGATAAAAGACTTTACAGATGAATTACCCAGTGAGGATTTCCTCGCAGCTGTGAGCCCCAGTACTGTTTTCAGATGAGAGTGAGGGTGGCATTCACTGTGCTGGGGGGATCTTGGCCAAAGTCTTTCTTCATCAGGTAAAGCTGATGCTGCTTGCCTGAAAGCAAGCCAAATTCCCACCACAGGCGTGAACAGGAGCGTGGGCCTGTGACAATTTCTTTGCTTGAACTGTGGCCCTTTGGCCACCCTCGTGCCCCGTGGTCACCTTGCGTGGTCTCCTGCAGCCTCCTGTGCCGTGGGCAGCACTCTTCCAGATGTGGGTGAACCACACCTTTCTGCTCTGCTATTATCTTTGTTCTCACTCTTATGCTACTTTCTAATACTACAATTGTTTTTTTCACTGCTGCTGTGCTGATGCTTTCACTGACCTCTGTTACATCTTCAAAGCCTCACTCTTGGAAGGCCATTTAGCTTATTTTATACATGGAGTTAGGGCTGGGTTTGTGCTGTGCGCATCATTTTGTATTGCTCTATGAGGAATCTCGACAGCTGCTTCATTGCCAGTCTCACGAGACCCTCCTGCAGTTCCTCACAGCTGGTCCCCAGGTGCTGTACCCGGGTAACACAGTATCTGCTGCTGGCCCCTTCTCCCCATGCGTGTGACATGTTTAACAGCATGGTCCCACGCCTGCGTTCCCCCAGGACCATCCTCACTGAGGAAAACACACCATGTTCCCTACATGTTGTGTGCTACCTTTCCCGTGCTGTTCCCCACACTGTCATCCATGAGACAACCTTCCCCTCTGCAGCTGCCTGGGGTCTGGAGAGCCCATCCAAGGTCTCCTGCAGACCCAAGGGGCTGGTACCCCCCGACTCTCCCCCAGGCACATGCTCGCTGGCCTCTTCAGAAAGGGCCGATAGGTTTGAAGGAATCTCTGCCTACTGCCAGAGCTGCTTTGACTGCTCTCCAATAGACCATATTTGTCCATGTGTCCACCACGGCTGTCTGATACAGCTGCTGCTGACATGTCCATACAGTGTCACACTTGCAGCTTTATGGCTCCTCGAATCCCTCCTGGAGCATTTTTCCCTGCAAGGAGCATTCCCTCCGGCACCTCTCTGCCCTCAGGCACAGTGGCAGCTTTAGCTTTCAGCTACAGCTTTAACTTCTTCAAGCTTCTTTTTTTGTTTTGTTTTGTTTTTAAAGCTGGAGTCTCTCCTGGCCCTCCCCAGCTGCCTTCTTGCTCTTGATGTGTTTGACAGAGCCCGTATTTTCTTTTAATGCTTTTTGGAAGCTGTTTCTCAGACTTTTTCTTGGCTTGCTTCCACATGTTCTCACACTTAACCTTCCACAGTTTATGGTCTTCTTGCTTTTTCTCACCCAGACAAGGCTGAGGGGGGTTTCGAAGGGTGCCTTTTTGTTTATAACTGCCTATTTTACCCTGCTGTTTAGCCTTTGCTGAAGTCTTGCTTGAAAACTTGTCATACATCTGCTAAGGGACGCCAGGATAATGTCTTTAAATAGTCCTTCCCTCCCACCAGCCTGCAAGTGCTCAGCTCTCTGGCTGTCCTTTCTTGCTTCCTTTCAACAAGCCTCCTCATCTCTGCAGTCTCCCCATATTTCATGAAGGCCCCGCAGCTGAGGGCTTGCTTGGGATGGGGAGGTTCTTACTGCTGTCCCCTACACTGGAACCTGTGGGGCTTCAGCCGTGTAGACAGCCACTGATGGTCCATCAACAGCCCCATGGGATGGAGCAGGGATGGAGCCATCCAGGGAGCCCCACTGGGACCAGCAGGCAGTGGGGCTGCAATATAGGTCCGACATTGAGCCAGGAGACCAGGCTGGGGAGAAGCCCACCTACAGCAGAGCCAAAGGGAAGGTAGCCCCAGGCCTGAGCTGAAATGGAGCCCCCAGCCGCGGGCAGGGTGTGGAGCTCAGCTGGGGCTGCTCAGGGCCATTAAGGCCCATTAGTGCCCTTTGAGCCCCACAGATGTTGACCATAAGTCACTGTCAGAGGGTGGGAATTGGAGAGCAAGATTTTCAGCCAGGTCTGAGCATTACCCAGGACTCTGCTTGCTGCTGCCTGAAGCTGCCATCAATTGCATCCAGATCTTGCACACATGTTCACCCCACTTGCACCAGGGTAGTGGGGTTCCCCAGGCCTCCCCTCAGACAATGACAGAGTTGTGGTCCTATCTTACGACAGCTAAAGGAGGTAGGGTGTTAGATTTGGTTCTCGGTGCCCCTGTTCCCAGCACAGCCCATGTTTTCTCCCTGCCTGTTTGGGGACCCCCTGCTATTCACCATCCTCACTTCGGAGGTGGGCGAGCCCCTTTCCCCTTGCTCTTCACCCCTGCTTCTGCCAGGTGAAACTGCCAGGATTGGGCACTTGGTCTGATCACCTGGAGGGGACCCTCCCTGGTGCATAGCATCAAGCACTGGCAGGGTGTCAGCCACAGCATCATCCCCAGTTCTGCCCTCCTGAGTGTGGGATGGTGGCAGGGAGAGGGACCAGGTGGCAGCTGGCATTTCTGCTCAGCCCCTCTTTGAGAGATGCTCCCTGAGCCCATGAATCCCCTCCCTGCCAGGAGTAGTGGCCACAAGCACAGACGTCAGGAAAACCAGAGCCAAGGGGAAGCTCACCAGCTTTCCTGGGGCACCCTCTGCACCCACCCGTTGTTTCAGTGCTAAATGGGGCTGGAGCTCCTGCTGCTTTTGCCCACTCCTGGGGTCCCAGCATGGCATTGCCAGCCTGGGGTGCCAAGGGGCCTGAGGATTGCAGGAGAGCCAGCCCCAGGCTCTGGGCATCAGGAGCCAGCTCCATCTTGGAGACCATATCCACATTTTGTTTATTTATTAGAGGGAGTATAATGAACTGTGCACAGCAGCATCCCTGTCCTAGAGACACCTCAGTGCAGGGAGCGTGGGGACCTCATCACCCTTCACCTAAGGTCCTGGTCTTTCCAGGCAAGATTCAACTTTTCTTGGAAGCATGAGCAACGGAAGCTGTCCCTGTAACTGCTGACATTTTCCATGAAAACAGTTGGATTTCTGGGTCTGCTCTGCCCCGTGCTGGACACCCGCTGCGGGTGGTCCATGCAGAGCCAGGCTGGGCTGATCACTCCAGCTGGCTCCTACACTGACCGGTGGGGACTTTGCCGTCCCCTGCCCACTCCTGTCCAAGGGTGGCTGTTGGGGGCAGGTTCCTGCAGCAGAAGTGGGGGGATCAGCTGGCAGGGGAGCAGAGCCCACGCCAGGTCGCAAAAAGTCACCCACGAGGTGGAAAACCAGTGCTGACCAGTGGGGACCTTGCCATCCCCTGCCCTCTCCTGTCCAAGGGTGGCTGTTGGGGACAGGTTCCTGCAGCAAAAGTGGGGGGTGTCAGCTGGCAGGGGAGCAGAGCCCACGCCAGGTCGCAAAAAGTCACCCACGAGGTGGAAAACCAAAACACAGAGGCAGTTTTATAGGGAGGGGAAAAAATTGAAGGAATGGAAATTAAAGAGCAGACATAGCAAGGGAGGAATGGGCCACAGAGGGCTTGTGAAAATAAACAGTGGAGAGAAGCACAGCGAGCACTGAGGCTGGGGAGCTGCAGCCTGGCTTCAAGGTCCACACGGTGGTGAAGGCACCGAGCCCAGCCCACCTGTGGGGCAGCAGTGGGTCCCCTTGTTCTCATCCACCCCCCGTGCCAGTGAGCCTGGACATCACCAAATGCTGCTGTGCCAGGGAAGAATCCTGCCCTGCAAAGGTGGGGTTGGGACGGTGGTGTGTCCTTTCCCCCCGCTTTGTTCAGCCTTACCCAGCACACCTGCGTTTTCTCTGCAAAAGCTGGGCTTGCTCTCCCTACCAACAGTGACCTGCAGCAGAGGGGAACCTCCTTGGTGGCTTTGGATGCTCAGGGCCAAATTGCAAGTCACACTGAACAAATGGTACATAACTGGAGACAGCTAGACCTGTTGTCAAGCCCCAGGACCCCTCTTGTCTATGTACCCTCCAAAAGGATGAAGGGTGAAAGATGGAGGATGAAACTCCTTTGCTAGTCTGACCACTTCATCTCCTGAAACCCTTCTTCCCCCTCTACCCAGGGAAAGCAGGACCTAGGAGTTACCCATTTGCAGGACCCTTCCCATTGCAGACTTAAGGCATATGTATTCCTATATATTACTTAGGAGTGCTCAGAGAAACAGCGAGCACTGGCAGAAGGTGTGATGGGCTGCTGGCAACTCACATTGCTGGTGGTCCCCAAGAGAGCAATAGAAAAATAATATAATCCTAGTAAAAGTCCCTAGAAAGGAGGAAGCCCCCAGCCACGAGTGCTTGGGAGGGTCAGAGGCAGGCACAGAGCACACCAAGGAGTGTTTCACCCTGATTTTGGGCAAGTATAGCGGTGCGTGCTGACCTGTGTGTTAGCAACAGCATCCCCCGGGACAGGGAGGATTTTGGGTGCGTGGTGTGAGGGTGCTCGGCAGCAGAGCCCTGGGCTCAGGGGCTGCACTGTGCATCACAGGAGGCAGAGCAGAAACCTCAAAAAGCTCAGGGCACATGATGAGGACCGCTTCCTGCTCCCTCTGGCTGCAGACCAGGACCTGGGGAGGGCACCCCACTCTGGAGGCCACCGGTGCTTTGGGGCTGGTGGGTGCAATGCAGATGGGGCTCGGTGTGGGGCAGGCACCCACCGTGCAGCCCAGCACAGCACCCTGCACAGCCTCCTCTCCAAGGGAGAGCCTTCATCTCCTGGCCAGCGTTTCCTCAGGGCACATCACTATAGAAACTGAGTGCTGCACACACATCCCCTAATTCATCCTGGGAGCAGCCTGCCAGCTCCACTGATACAATTATCCCAGCCACAGATGGGGACAAAGCAAAGAGATGGAGATCAAGAGCTGCCGCTAATTCCGAGTGCTCCAGCTTGAAATGCCTCAACCAGACGTCTTTACAGCATTAGGGTCCATTAGCCTGTGTGTAATTAATTACACAGCTTTGTACCTCCCCAGCAGCCCTGCTGGGGTCGGTGCGGGCGCAGGGCAGGGAACATCCCCGCTGCCCCATCCCTCCGCCTGACCCACTGCTGCTCCTTCCCTCCCACAGGGCCAAGGAGATCAAGACCAAGTTGGGCACACTGCTCCAGAAGCCCGACTCAGCCATCGACTTCATCATCCCCTACCCGGAGAAGCCGGAGAAGCCACCCAAGGCCCAGAAGTGAGTACTGTGCCGGGGCAGGCCGTGTGGGCGCTTGTGCCCGGCCGGAGGGGTGGACACGGGGCCCTTTTGGGATGCAGAGGAGCTGAAGCCCCTGCTGTGGGATGCAGTGTGGGCACGCAGGGCTTCACGTGGCAGGCGGCTCGTGGCACACTCCCCATGACCCGCCGGCTAGGTATGGGCTCTGAGAGTTACGTCAAGGCAGCACAAGACGTGTCAGGCAATACAGCTTTATGGGAACCAGATTTCTCATGGAAACTCAATTTACTTTTGATGAGATTTCACATTCATTCAATAAAGGTTTTGCCAGAGGCATACGGCACTTAGACTTCTCTGAGTCACCTGCCTCAGCCCAGAGGTGACAGCCTCGCATGGCCTGGCGGCTCCAGGGCAGCAGAGTGTCCCTGAGCTGGGTGCGTGGCCCTACGGTGTACCATCTGCCTCTGGGCAGCTCTGCAATGATGGCACCATCTCACCTTACTGCCTTTGACCTGAACCTCTGCTCTCCAGCACTCAGCTGGGCTAATGACAAAGCAAAGCAGAGGAGAAGCTAAAGAGGTTGATGGGCTGTGCTGCAGGAGTCACAGCTCAAAGGAGACAAAATAAACCTTTAAAAAGAAATGTTAGCTCAAATCTAAAGCAGGATGGCTTCCTGGACATAGATGCCTCACTCAGGGCATCTCCAGCCCAGCCAAGTACCCAAGCCACTGCCCAGCCAATCTTCTGCCACCCCTCAGCCCTGCTGCTATCAGATACGGGTTGATTCTCCTGGGGACACCTGCCCCTGCCCCAAGGACTTGCTCCCTGTCCTTGAGCTGCACCCAGACACAGAGAGTGCTGGAGGACCCAGGTCTGACAGCACCCGGGATATCTAACCTGACTGGCCCAGCCAGCCTTGCTCATGGCACCACAAACAAAGGTTCATCTCAGAGGGCTTGAGTGGCCCTGTCACAACTAAAACCAGGAGAGGTGCATGCACGCTCTTCACAAGGCCAGGCTTCTATCTCCCCTTCAAAACTCACAATGTTTTGTTTTACACCAGCCCCTCTCCCCACGTTCCCCTCCAGCCCAAGGCAGCATTACTCTCAACCACCAACCATCTACCACGGGATTGCTAAAAGCCAAAAACAAACCCAAAACCCAATCCCAACGGGCAGACGAATATCCAGCTCACCTTGACGTGAGCCTGCAGAGACCTGTGGTGACTTTGTTGGCTGCAGTGGGGGGGGACACTTGCCAGTGTGGTGCCTGCCCATTTCACACTTGGTTGCTGCCATGCCCCGGGTGCCTCTGCAAAGGAGACACATTTGTCCCCATTAGCCATCCCTGCCAAAAGCCAGAGAACATCTTCAGTCCCCACTGGCTGGAGGAGCTGTTTTCTCCTGCACCTCACCGTCGCGCAGCCTCGGTATCACTCACCCATCAGCATCTCACTGGCAGTTAATATCATCCCTGGGACATTCAGCTAATGGAAAAGTGAATTTGATAGTTTCCAGGAAATCTGGATTGTGTTGGGTCACTGCAGTGATGCTCCTCCTCACTGGGGGTGGGGAGGCATCTAGGAGGAACTTTTGATCCAGGGAGAGCTTTTGATCCTTGATAGCAAGTGCAAATGCAATTTGAGGTCCAGAAAGCAAATGCTCAGAGCCCCCATCATGGTCTTTACTGCTGGGTGTTGGTGGTTTGATGACAAGTGAAGGCTAGATACCCAACCTGAGCAAGCCTTGGGTTTCTGCCGTTCTCCTTTCACCCTTGGAGCCACCCTGGGTGTGGGCATCTGGGTAGGATCACCTGCACTTACCCCAGCCCCACCACTGAAGCACCAAAGCCCCCAGGACCAGCAGGTTGTCCTGCCCACTGCTCCCTCCCCATATGGATGCTCTGCTCACCCAGAGGGTGCAGCAGCAGGACCAAGCATGGCCAGGAGGTCAAGGGAGGCGATTCTGCCCCCCTATTTGGCTCTGGTGAGACCCCACCTGGAGTACTGCATCCAGCTCTGGAGTCCTCAACACAGAAAGGACATGGACCTGTGAGAACAGGTCCAAAGGAGGGCCACAAAGATGATCAGAGGGCTGGAACACCTCACCTATGAAGACAGGCTGAGCGAGTGGGGGTTGTTCAGCCTAAAGAAGAGGTGGCTCCAAGGAGACCTGTAGGTCACGAAGGCTGTTACAAGGAGAGATGGGCAGGGACTCTTTATGAGGGGGTATAGTGAAAGGATGGTTTTAAACTGAAAGAGGGGAGATTTAGATTAGATATTAGGAAGAATTTCTTCAGTGTGAGGGTGGTGAGACACTGGAACAGGTTGCCCAGAGAAGCTGTGGATGCTCCATCCCTGGAAATATTCAAGACCAGGCTGGATGGGGCTTTGAGCAACTTGGTCAAGTGGGAGGTGTCCCTGCCCATGGCAGGGGGCTAGGAAATGAATTATCTTTAAGGTTCCTTCCAACCCAAACCATTCCATGATTCTATGAAAACCAGCCTGAGCTGCAGGGCTGTCTGTGGGGAGTGAGTGCTCTGTGGTGGTGTTTGAAGGGCTTCCTTTCTCCCCCAGCACCAGGCATCAGCTGTGGTGGGCAGCAGGTTGGGCAGGAGCCCCGTGCTTTAGGGCAGCTCAGCCAAACTCTTCGTGGCTTAAAAAAAACCCAAAACCACACACAAGAACCCCACAACCCTCATTAGTCTCATTACAAAAACAGCATTCAAAGAGGGAAAAAAACAACCAAAGAGGAAAAGCCACACACATGGAAAACATGGAAGGTTTTCACTGGGGAGGGAGGGAGCCGGGGCTGGAGTCCTGCCCCACCACGGGGCGTGGGAATGGGGCAGGCGGGCTGTGGGAGTCACGGGGCGCTGACCCCAGCCCCGGCAGCGCAGGGCTGGCAGGATCCGGCCCCGCCACCTCTCTCCGGCAGCGAGCATCCTGCTCCATCCCATAGGGATGCTTCCCAGCTGCCTGCGGAGCCCCGGCTCTGCCCTCCTGTACACAGGAGCTGGGGCAAGGAGGGGACCCACGGCTGCAGAGGGGACTCGCTTTGTGGTTCTGCCACGTCTCTGCTCAAAACACGGGGGAAATACCCAGCCCTCAGCTCTCCTCAGGAGGGGTTACTCATGCTGCCATGGAGCTCGACCACCGTCCCTGCTCTGCAACAATCTCCACAGCTCATTACTCCATTTTCCCCTCTCCATTTTTAAAGAAATTATTCAAAAAACTTGGAGCCCAGACCAGGGCTGTGGGGTGAGCACAGACTATCTGGGCTTTCTTTACTCCCTTCAGGCCGTCACCGGAGGAGGCTCTGCAGTGGCGCGATTCCCTGGAGAAGCTCCTGCAAAACCCCTGTAAGTTCACATCTCCCAATCCCATGTCCCTCACCCCACCGGTGCTCAGCAAGAGCTCCTTTTCCCCCCCGGGACACCCAGTGCTCAGCAAGGGCCAATTTCCCCCACAGATGGGCTCGCCAGCTTCCGCAGCTTCCTGCGCTCCGAGTTCAGCGAGGAGAACGTTGAGTTTTGGGTGGCCTGTGAGGACTACAAAAAAACCAAGTCCCCCATGAAGATGGCAGAGAAGGCCAAGAAGATCTATGAGGAGTTCATCGAGACTGAGGCACCCAAAGAGGTCAGTGGCCGTGGGCAAGGGATGGTGCCAGGAGGGATGAGGCTACTGCCCAGGTGGCCTCCATCCCAAAGGAGAGTGATGGCTGCAGGTCCCCCTGTACCATGGGGGTACCAGCAGCTCAGAGGGCTGTACTTTAGTGAGGGGCAGCCCCATCCCCACAGGCTGCACTCCCTCCCTTCGCAGCTCCTGTTCACATGCTCAGCCTCTGCTGGGCTGCCTCATACCACAGGCACCTCCAGCACATGCCCATCCCCTTCTCCCCACAGAGGGCTTACATTAATCATAAGGGACAACAAGCTGTGGTAGCCCTCACTCCAGAGTTACCTTTGCTGCAGGATTACAGATTTGCCACCAATAACTCCCCCAGAGAAGTGAACCTGCTTCAGTCCCTCCCCATGAGCTCTGCATAGCTGTTGGTGGCACAGAGAAGCAAGGGGAAATGCCACCACCCACCCCTTCCAAAAGCAGGGTCCCCATCCCTCTTACGCTCCCATCACAGGTGAACATCGACCACTTCACCAAGGCTGTGACCATGAAGAACCTGGTGGAGCCATCGCCAACCAGCTTTGACATGGCCCAGAAGAGGATCTTTGCCCTGATGGAGAAAGACTCCCTGCCCAGATTTGTGCGGTCGGAGTTTTATCAGGAGTTAATCAAGTAGCAATGTGGCAGGGCTGTGCGAGGCATTCCCCGCGGGCGGTCCCACTGCTTCTGTCTTAACACCTGCCCCTTCTCCTGCAGCTGCTTTGCTTTCTTGATACCTGCCTAAAAGAGCACCCAGGAGTGTTGCTAAACATCTCCCCCCGTGCTTTGGACTGTCAGATGGCCCACTGTTTCCTCTCTTACAGTCTCTTTCCTCTCCCACAAAATTAGCAGAAACCCCTGGTGATCCTCCCTGGGTTTGGGACCCACAAGGGTGGTGGAGCAGCCCCAGCCCTGCAGTGACCGGGAGGCACTCGGGCAGCTGGTGCACCCTTGGCGCTGTGGGGCTCAGAGGTCCTTAGGACTTCTTAGGACATGACACTTTTTCTCCCAGTTTTGCCCATATCACTGGTTTGGCCCAGGCTCTCCCCCTCCTCCCAGCTTCCTGGGGTGTCGCGGAGGCTGCACGGGGTACCCAAGGGGTTCCTGCTGGCCAAGTCCAGGGCACCTGCAGCCCTGGGGTGCAGGGTGGGTCATGTCCACCCCGCGATTGGCATCACCTCGTCTTCAGGAAGCAGCCCACCAGCAGGCACAGGGAGGGGCGCAGGGCAGGGATGGTGGTGGGGCAGGGAGAGGGCTGCAGGGCAGAGCTGGGAGCTCCATGGCCGTGTGCTCCGGGGTGCAGCTGGTGGGCACGAGGGGTGGGCAGCGCCGCTTCCCCAGGGACTCCGCTTGGAGAGACCCACCAGACACCCTGTTTGCTTCACACTGAAGACAGCAAAGAGGATAAAACAAGATCCGTTTGTTCAAACCACCGGGGCTGTTTAGCCACCCAGACCTCTCGCTCGCTCCGACCCCGCGCACGACGTCCTGAGCTCACAGCCTGCAGCCTCTGCCCGTGTCCCCAGAGCCTTCGCGCAGCCCTGAGCGATGCTGGTGGCTGGTGCTGTGCTTGGATTGCAGCTTCGGGGGCGCTGCCACCCTGGTTTCATGCTCCAGTTGCTTCTCTCTGCAGTAGGCACGCCAAAGAGACACTTCTGCACAAACCCAATCGAGGGGCATCGATTAGAGAAGGGAGGAAAATCACGCTGGGGGGAAAAAAACCCCCACTGCTAATTGCAACTGTTCAGATCCAGTTAAAAGAAACCCAAGCAACCCAAAACCCAAACACAAAACCATCATTGGAAATACGAAAAATAAACCCTCTGTCTTCTTGAACAGACGGCAAACTCTGCTGAGTTTGTGTAGCCTGCATCTCTCTCCTGTCTCCTCCCATCTGCCCAGGACATGCGGTTCCACAAGGCTGTCTCCTAAAAAGCCCAGCTCTTTTCACACAATCCAAAGCCAGCCTACAGTTCGCTACCAGAAGAAATCACATCTGAGGATGGGGCAAGGGCATAGGTGGAAGGCTGTGGGGGTCTCGTTTCAGCCTCGCAGCCAATGTGAGGAACCCCCTGCTCCGCGGGGCCTGGCTGTTTCACCCCTGCGATGGTTCCCTGGTGCAGCATCTGCAGGGCCAGGGATCAACCTGCCCCACCAACAACCCCACAGATGCCAGCAGAATTCCAAGCCAGCGTGCTGCCAGCAGGCAGCTGGGACCAGCCAGCCCCCCCGCAGGATGCTCCACCTCGACTGCGAGTCACGAGACTCCGTGCAAAACGCAATAACGTAAAACAACGGGTTTGCCAGCCTCTGCAAGACTTCCAAAATCTGATCAAAACCCAACCAGCCCCAAATATTTACGCATCGTCACTATGGTGATGAAGAAAAGTACATCCCGAGCTGCAGGAAGTGGGCTGCGTTTTCCAGGCAGGGATGGGGAGGCAGGGATAGGATGGAGGCCACTGCAAACATGATTGGTTTTTGTTTCTCTGGAGCCAATGGCCCGGGAAGTTCAGTGCTGGAGCGGCAGGGGGTGATGCTCGCACGGCCTTCCCCCAGGGTGAGTGCTGGGGTGGCCCCAAAGAGCCACAAAGGAGCCCACAAGTGGTCCCATCAAAAGGGCACAGGATCCCCCCAGCAGCACCCACTGGCCAAAGCTGGTGGGCGACGAGGGGGAGGCAGAAGCGGGGCTGGGAGTGGAAGTGGGGGCTTGGCCAACCCTTCTGCCACCGGCTGCTCCCACTGCCTCTGCCCACACACCCTCCTGACGTCTCCACGAACTGGTGTCAAGATAACTGGGGTTCAGCATGTTCAAGCTCCCTGTTCATGGTATGACTCATAGAAATGCAAAACCAAACAGGCTTCCCTGCAGAAAGACCCAGATCTTTCATTTCTACTTAATCCTTTGGCAGCTATTTCCAGATACTCTCACATGATTCACAGTTAAATGCCAATGCCGGGATGCTGCTGGAGGCTGGCTTGTGACGTGCCATCAAAACCAGAGATGGCCCTGGCTGCGACAGCGACAGCAGGGAGAAGGTGTCTGGGTTTGTACGTGCCGAAAAGAAAGGTGGAGGCTGGATTCAGGAGAGGTGAAAGGGCTCCATTGGAAATCCCTCCTCAGCTCGATTTCTGCTGAAGCGCTGGAAGCCGGCTTTAGGGGGTGATTGAACAGGTGCCAGGGAGCTACCAGGTGGCCATAAAATGTGGCCCCTGAAGTGTTTTGGAGCTCTTGGGAAGTTGTGTTTGTGTAGAAGGGTCGTTTGGCTAATTACTCAGGCAGGCTCACCCCAGAAACGCGGCAATGCCTGTGTCCGCCCCACAGCCCAGCTTTCCACAGGCCCAGAGGTATTTAGTGTCGGGCTCATACCAACCGTCATATCTCTGGTAGGAAATACTTCATGTATTTTATCACTCCTGCTCTCATGACATTTGCCATACGTATGAGCACTGTACACACAACATTGTAATGCTGTATCCCTATAGTCATATATAAGTACACACATATACATATATACATACTCCTAATGTGGGCGTCTGGATCCTCAGTGAGTCAGAGTCCAAAAGCAGGGTTTCTGGATATCGTGCTTGGGGTTCATCACAGAGATGAGCGTGCGTGGGTTTAGTGTGGTCCCAGACCCCGTTGAGGGAAACCTTGGTCACCTACCCAAGTGAACGTGAAGGTGCATTTTCCAAAACATCCTCTGAACTCACCCTGTGCCCGTGGCCCCTGGGTGCCCACAGCTCTGGTGTGTCCTGGCACCCGAGCTGGTGCAGGAGGCAGGTCTCGTGCTCTCTGAGGGACCCCCAACCTCTGCCGTGGGGCAAGGCAACCCCATGCTGCAGCCGGGATCCCGGGCACCAGGCGCTGCCTCCACACCTCCTCGGTCCCGCTCCCCACCACAGGGACACACAGAGAAGGGCTCCCTGCAGCCACATCCCTCGGATTAACTCTAGAGGATGGTTTGTGGTGTGTTTTCTGGTTACTTCAGTGATCTGGACCCTCGCACCTCACCAGCTGTGGTGTGGATCACCCAGCTCTCCCCAGCATGCTGAGGAAGGGCTCTGCTGGTACTGCCTGTCCCAACCTTGGGGACTGCCAAAGCCTGTGAGGCAGTGGCGGGAGCTGCCTGCTGCCCACAGGGGGCTGAGGGTCTCCAGGGCTTCTCTCAGTCCTTTGTCACTCCCTGGAGGGTGCCGAGTGTGGCCAAGGGTCGGAGCAAAGTCAGGAGGGGAGATCAGCTCCTCACACCCGTGAGCAGCAGGTTTTCAGTCAAGTGCTGTGGCCAAGGGTCGGAGCAAGGTCAGGAGGGGAGATCGGCTCCTCACACCCGTGAGCAGCAGGTTTTCAGTCTGATGTTCTCCGTGTGATTTCCACTAGAGATCTTCACACGAGGAAGACGTGGGGTGCTGGTGTGCACTGAGGAACTGGTTGTATTACTCCATATTCTTGTACCACTCAGTAATCCACACATAAACATGTATTTCTGCTACTGTCTCAATGGACTATTGATTTTGTCTCTTTGCACTGAAGGTGCGGCGTTTCCTTACCCTCTACTAGGGCACTCCAAAAACTTCTGCCCAAAAGCCCTGGCAAGACCAAAGGGCTCCGAGAGCTTCTTTCTGCTGCAACAGATGTGGTGGTTTCTCAGGAAACTGAAAAGGGAATAAAACTATGACCCCAGGAGGCTGGTCCAGAGGAAGCTCCCCAGCACCAGCATGGCACGGGCACCCCCAGCCCAACCTTGGGGACTGCCAAAGCCTGCGAGGCAGTGGCGGGAGCTGCCTGCTGCCCACGGGGGGCTGAGGGTCTCCAGGGCTTCTCTCAGTCCTTTGTCACTCCCTGGAGGGTGCCGAGTGTGGCCAAGGGTCGGAGCAAAGTCAGGAGGGGAGATCAGCTCCTCACACCCGTGAGCAGCAGGTTTTCAGTCTGATGTTCTCCGTGTGATTTCCACTAGAGATCTTCACACGAGGAAGACGTGGGGTGCTGGTGTGCACTGAGGAACTGGTTGTGTTACTCCATATTCTTGTACCACTCAGTAATCCACACATAAACATGTATTTCTGCTACTGTCTCGATGGACTATTGATTTTGTCTCTTTGCACTGAAGGTGCGGCGTTTCCTCACCCTCTACTAGGGCACTCCCAAAACTTGTGCCCAAAAGCCCTGGCAAAACCAAAGGGCTCTGAGAGCTTCTTTCTGCTGCAACAGATGTGGTGGTTTCTCAGGAAACTGAAAAGGGAATAAAACTATGACCCCAGGAGGCTGGTCCAGAGGAAGCTCCCCAGCACCAGCACGTACCCTCTACTAGGGCACTCCAAAAACTTCTGCCCAAAAGCCCTGGCAAGACCAAAGGGCTCCGAGAGCTTCTTTCTGCTGCAACAGATGTGGTGGTTTCTCAGGAAACTGAAAAGGGAATAAAACTATGACCCCAGGAGGCTGGTCCAGAGGAAGCTCCCCAGCACCAGCACGGCACGGGCACCCCCAGACCCGCTGGCAGAGTCGGATCTCACGCCAGCAGCAGCTGCGGTGGCTACAGGGGCAGGGGCTGAGCAACAGCCACCCCTGGTTGCCCCCGGCCACCCTACCTTCAGGCAGCAGCTCTGCACTCACAGGGTTTGGGCCCAGGGACAGGTTGAGCCCTGAGCTAGAACATGTTCCCCTCCGGAGCTCTGGGTGGGACAAACGTTTGCAGTGAGGAGGTGCTCCTCTAGGTTCCCCCCTCTGAGGCTCTCACAAGGGCCTCCTGCTCACCCCAGCCCCTCAGCAAGGATGGGTGGTCCCTGTGCTGAGCTCACTGTTGGGCACAGCATGGACCCCAAAAAGCCCAGCATCCCCCAGGCTCGTGGTGCCAAGGGTACCTGAAGGATATAATGGCTGTTTGATCTTTCTGTAATTTAAAACAACACTGAGTGAAGCCGCGTGTGAAATGACGTTTTAGAGTAACCTTGGCCAATGAATTGCATCTCTGTGCATTTTCTCTGGTTCACACAATGGCATTTTAGAAGGGACTAATGCAAACATTTTTATTTAGAATGTATTCATCATTATTTAAATATCAATACAGTTTTTGCAATAGTTTTCAAGAGTTCCCAGTACCAGGGGAAAATAAAAGATAGCCACATGCTTGGCTATGTTCAGAGCTTTAGCAAGCCTCTCCATCTCTTAGCTGAACATGCAGGGGTGGCGTGTGTCAGTACAATCTAATAAATACAAAATAAAGCAAATGTCAAAACAGATGACAAAGGCCTCTGTGGGCCTGGACGTGCCTACTGGAGAGCCATGGCCTCCTCCTGCCATGCCAAAACCCCGGTGTGAGAACTGTTGTCTGGACCGGGATGCAGAGCGAGGAACACACTGCTGTCAGAGCAGCAATATCCAACTCAGGAGAGACCAAGGGGTGGGGGAGAGCGTCACCGACAGCCACTGGGCTGCTCACAGCAGGCAGTCCCAACTGCTGCCCAGTGACAACCAGTACCACAGCCCAAAACAGCAAGCCCTGCATCTATTCCTTGTGCCTCCAACCACAGGTCAGTGTCAGTCCCAAAGCCCCCAGTGATTAAAAAGTAAGCTGCCTTCTGGCAAAGCCCAGGAGCAGTAATGAGACCCACACATTCCTCCTACCACCTTCAGGAAAAAAGTGAGTCAAGCTACTACTGAATTATAAACCCACATACATAACATTAAAAATAAAAATAGGTTTTCAATTAATCCCAGGCAGGGTCTTTGCTCCCCAGCGGTTGGGGAGCATCACAAACTGCTCCAAACAAGCCAGGGCAGGCAAACCTGCACTCAGATGGCACTCCCAGAGTTAGTAATACACACCTGCCAGCCTGGGAGAGAAGGAACATGTTTCTGTTCTACTCAGCTACGGTATTAAACCTGCGAGCATTAATAATATATGAAATAATGAACCTCCCCTAAAATAATAGCTCTGTACAGCCCCAGGAAAAATCCTTTGCCGGCATAAACTAGATGCTGCAGAGGGAGAAGCAGCCAGATGGGAGAGCTTCCCTGCGACTGTGGCTGTGGAGATTGAGGGAGGCTGTTTAGCTGAAAAGTTTTGGTCTCCCTTCAAGAACGAGCAGGAGCTCTTCCTAGGTCTGCTTGCTATAATGCAGCATAGCCCGAGTTCTGAGCAGACACTACTGAAAGCCTAGGTATCTGGGAGCTATGGGAACAGCTAAGGACCAGAGCAAGTCCTTTTCATCAAAGCTTTTGCCCACGTGTTTCTGTTCTACTCAGCTACAGTATTAAACCTGCGAGCATTAATAATATATGAAATAATGAACCTCCCCTAAAATAATAGCTCTGTACAGCCCCAGGAAAAATCCTTTGCCGGCATAAACTAGATGCTGCAGAGGGAGAAGCAGCCAGATGGGAGAGCTTCCCTGCGACTGTGGCTGTGGAGATTGAGGGAGGCTGTTTAGCTGAAAAGTTTTGGTCTCCCTTCAAGAACGAGCAGGAGCTCTTCCTAGGTCTGCTTGCTATAATGCAGCACAGCCCGAGTTCTGAGCAGACACTACTGAAAGCCTAGGTATCTGGGAGCTATGGGAACAGCTAAGGACCAGAGCAAGTCCTTTTCATCAAAGCTTTTGCCCATTAGAAAGGGGAGATCGCAGTCCCCGACGCTTCCCTTGGCTCCTCTTTCCCCTGCCCCTTGCAAGGTGTCACCCTGCCACGTTGCAGGTCTGGTCCCTTGGTGGGTAGTGCTGTGTCTGAGCACGTGCTCCCCCACCACCCTCCCGGGCTTGGGGGGCTCCCCAGAAGCACAGCGGGCACGCAGGGGTTGCCCCCAGCTTTCATGTCAGACACAGACCCCAGGGCTCCTACACTGATGGAATCAGAGGAGGGTTTGCTACACAAACTGAGCCTGGCTTGGGTTACAAATGCTGGCTGCTGCATGACATGGGATACAACTGGGACATTAGACAGCTATTGGAGACAGCTCTGTTGCTTCATGCCAATGAATGCTTTTGCTGCCATATACTCTTGCGAGAGCCCAGCCCGCTCCTGCCTTGCTGCAGGTTCAGGCGCACTGAGAGATGATGTTAGAGTTGCAGTCTAAGGTGTGAGTGTGGCTTCTTTTGCAGTTTTCGGGCCCGCAGCCGGCACGGGGCGGGCTGACCAAGTCCAGGTAGTAGGGGGACTTGAGGAAACGGCGGTAAGAATCCTTTTCCATTAGGGTGAATATTTTTCTCTGAGCCTCATCAAAGCAGGACAGTGTAGGCTCCAGAATATTGTGGCTCGTCTTCTCCCGCGTGCATGAATCCAGGTTCACCTGCGGGCCAAAGGGACAGCGTCAGTAGAATCTGTCCCAGAAGCCTAGCATAGTTAAAGGGAAATCCAAGGGTCTCTTCACCAGGCATGTCTAAGCCGTCCTTGGTGGGCAGTGGTCTGAAATCACCCTTGGACACCCTGTAGCCTTGGCACAATCTGGCAGCTGGATACCAATGGATCTCTGCTGCCAGACAAACTGCCAGGGGAGACCGACACGTATCCCTCTGGGATGCAGCCAGCCAGGAAACTCAAACAACTGCAGGGGAGCAGCTGGAACACTGAGAATCATAGTCCTCTAGGCTTCTCCCATTTGAGTGTGCACACGGGATGGCATGTGGCTGTAACTACACCCATTTTCTCTCTATCCAAGTTTAATATGAAAGCAATAAAAATGACACCATTTACTTGCTAACTAACAGCAAAGCGGCATCCTTCAGCTCTTGTGAAACTACCAGATCTCTATTTCCCTGTGCCGCTGGCCTGGTTCAGGATTTAGGGTGGTACCTTTGCTCAAGAACTGTTCTGTGCACATACCTCTTTTGTTGCCTGCACGGAGATGAACTCATCATAGATCTTTCTGGCCTTAGGGCTGAGCTTCGCTGGTGACTTGGTTTTCTTGTAGTCCTCACAGCTAACCCAGAACTCGATGTTTTCCTCGCTGTACTCAGATTTGAGAAAAGCACGGAAAGCAGCCAGACCTCCTACAGATTTTTTAGAAGAAAAACCAGATCAGGTAAGAATTTTGGGTCCCAGATAGTCATACCCACGAACAGCAGCAAACAACAATTCTGCATTCTCCTTCCCAGAGCTGAATGAGCATCTCCCCTGGGGGCAGCTGCCCGCCCCCACGGCAGTCACTCGTGCATGCTGAGGGAGGCTGGAATTCAGACAGGCCCCATGGGAATGTCACGCGTGGGTCTTCAGCTGCCTGCTCCCCCACTGTGACCTTCAGTGGCTCAGCCAGCAGAACATAAGCAACTCGTGTGTTCCCAGGAGGCCCCAAGGAGACAGCCAACACACGCTGCAGAGTCTCAAGCCATGGGAACAGCACAAAGGAAACCTCAAGGACACCAGTGTAGCCTGGAACCGGTGGGAAGACAAAGACTCCCATGGGCTCAGCTACATGCAGTTTTCCCAGTTTTTGGCTCTTGTTCTACCCACCATTAACTGTGTGCTGCAGCATTGTCCCCTCCTTGTACAGGGGCTAAACCAGTTACTCTCACGAAAGGGACAGCTCAGCTGTAGGCCAAAGCTCCACTCATCATATTTTGGTATTTTTCCTTGGATGTGACCAAGAGCACCCTTCACCACCCCTCCTAGTGGCCTGTGGAGGCCCGTGTGCTGCTAAGAGACAAAAGAAAATGTCCCCAGTCCCCTTCAGGGGCTGCTCAGCACACACACCCTGCAGGCAGCACCCTCAGTATCTCCAACAGAAGGGACCTCTTTACTTACTATCATGATGGATCAGGTTTTCCAAAGAGTCTGCCCACTTTCTGACTTCCTCTTGGCTAACCCTAGAAGGAGACAAAAGGAGAAACGTAAGGGGGATTTAAGGGGAGCACAGAAAGGAGACATTTGGGTTTTTGCCCAGCATCACTAGAAAATCTCTTTCCCTGATTGTTGTAAAAGCATACACAAGAGACCAAGAAGGAAATGTCTGCCTGGTTTACAGAGACCCCTGGGGATCCCAGATCTAATGTACAGTAATTCCGGCTTGCAATCCTCGTCACCAGCCACGGACTGGATAGCATTTTTCCTGGAAAAATTGTTGGGAACTTTGTGCTTATTTTCTTACTGGACGCATCTCTCAGAGGGGGAGAGATGGACCTGGGATCGCTCTTACAGGTCATATCAGTAATATATGGAAAAGAGAGGAACATGGGAACTAGAAACCATGTTTCCACATCCTGCGTTCATTCCCCCTACTATAACAGAACATCCCAGGGGTCATCTATCCCAGGAGCATACCTTGGCCTTCGGAGTCCTTTTTAGAAAGGATATAATCCACTTATACCTCAGCAACTGTGGGGACCCCTGCACAAACCTGACTCAAAGAGCCAGTGCTACTGATACTCCAATGTATCAAGTGTCACTGAGCCTTGTGCTGGTGTTATTCCCCTCAGCAGCAGACTGTGCAAGTCCTTCCATGTGCACACACATACTGAATCCCAGACAGGTTGGCAGAAAGGGACCTCTAGTACCACCTTCCTCCTGGAAAGGTACTACTCATACCCAAGGACTATTGCTACACTAGATTCAAACACACAGCTCTTCAGGAGGTACCGGGAAGCGGCAGCAGCAGAAACGCTAATGAAGTTTAGCTCAGTGAAGGAGTAAACAGCATGGTGCAGGCAGCCTGGGCTTAACTACACGGCAGCGTCTGCTCTTACCTCTGGCTTGAAGATATTTTCTCCTTCTTGCTCTGGGAAGAGCTGTAGTCACAGGAGTCTGACTTCTGCAGCAAGAAGCCCAGACGATGCTTCATGTCTTTGGCACTGAAAGAAACAATTCAAGAACAAGATGAAGATAATGCATTACAACTCCCTCTGCAGCCTCCTCACCCGCAATAAGCTCGTTCAGCATTACTTGGTGACATAAATGCAGGTCACAGCTACTGACTCCAGTGCTGACTTTCCACTCCTCATATAACGTACATTTCTGTGGCTAGACATGTACAACAAAGTCAAAGAAGTAATTTTTCACATTCAGCAGCACCATTTTCTTGCTGAGAAGGTCACCACCCCACAGGGAGGGCTGGCAAAGGGCTGCTCTTTTCCTACTGCTTGTTTACAGTTAAAATATTGTGACAGAAAGGCATCACCATGCTGTTAATGTGTCACTTCTCCCTGAGCTGGCTTGCCCAGCTGCCACTGTCCGGTTGTTACACGCTTACTAATCCTTTCCTGCAGCTCTTGCCATCTTCTCTCCTCATCATCCAGCTTCAGCAACAGCGGGGCCATGCCAGGCCACCCCACCAAGCAGCTGCCCATGAGACAGAGGGAAGGGAGGAAGCGAAGGGGTAGGAGCAGATCAGGGTGTGAGGGTGAGATCAGGGGATGACCCAGGATCTTTGTCACAACCAGCCCATGCTGACTGCAAGCTACTCCCTTGCTCCGTGGCGAGCTCCTATGAGGATATATGCTTAAATTTGTTCTGCTTTTCAGCGTGATCAGGACAATCACTGCCTGATGGCAGCACCGAGACATGCAGCTGGTATTGAGTTCAGCATCTCTCTGGGTTTCCTTCCAGTTTAAGAATGAAGGGGCAGGTAAATCAGTCTTGCTTGCTCAGGGGCGCATGCTGCAGGGTGCAGCAATAGCGTAAGCAGGAAATTCTTCTCCTGCTCCTCAGATTAGAGCTTGGAAAAGAGCAAGAGGGTGTGCTGCAGGGCTGAGCTCCAGTAGCTGCTCAGCCTCCTGGCACTGCTCTTTGCTCCAGCCATAGCACCCTGTCAGCAGTCCTGGCCATATCTCGTCTCACTGCTTGCTTGTGCTCATAAATGCTTCCTTAACAACGCCAGCACTGGGGTGAGAGCAAAGGAAACTCATAGCTTCATTAGAGTGGGGTGTGTGTGGCCAGGGCCAATGTTCAGGCCCTGCCCATGCAGACACTGCCTGCTCGGCGCTGCCAGACTGGGGCTGCCTGGCACTGCCATCCTACCTGTCCCCAAAAAAAGGAGACCGCTCAGGTCCGCAGGAAGGCTGCAGCAGGAGGAAACAAGACACTGCTGCTTGCAGCGAGTCCTGCAGCTTTCCATGAGAGAGGGATTTTCTTGGGAATCCTGGACAGAGATGGTTAAAATACGTGAACTTTTTTTTTCCTTTGCATTTTTTCAAATGTCTCTTTTTTTTTTTTTCCCTGTCAAATGTTGCTGCAAACTGGGGGGAAAGGCGTCAATATTTTTTCCTAACATTTTTAGAACTTGTTTTCAAATCCAGCATAACTGGGGAGCTTTTTCTCCCAGATGGGAGCAGGCTGAGCTTCAGTTTGCACTCTCCCAACCCTCCCCATTGCACAGCCACTGGGAAGCAGCCTCAGGAGTGCTCCTTGGGGCAGGAGCAGCCAGAAAGGTAGCAGTGTGCCATCAGAGACCTGTGCGATTTGCACGGGCTGGATGAGCAGGGAGTTTTGTGGGGCTGGTGCTGTTCTGGGCACCCGGGCCACCCTGCTGGGGGTCTCCAGGCCCCACAGCACCTGAAAAGGAGTAACACCCCTCCAGGAGGGCTCATGACCCCCTCGCAGGCATAAGGACCCCCTCATGCTGGGTTGTGGGGCAGGCCAGGCTGCCCCATACTGTACATGCCTGGGGCAGGCACAGGCTCCACTCTGCCTTCTCTGGGATGCCTGGCCAGTAGCACACACCAGGGCACAGACAGATCCTGCACCCATGGCAGCTCAGCCCATCCTCATCATCACTGCAAAATGCAGGTATGGCCAGCTCCACGCCAGCCCCACAGTGCTGTGCCCCAGGGGTACAGCCTGACCTGGTCCCTCACCACCAGTGCACACCCAGAGGAACACAGGCTGACCCCACACCGCCTGGTGCTGCATCCAGATCTGCGGTCTCCTGGGCTGGCCCACATCCCTGCCCTGCCTGCTGGTGGCCAGGGCTCTGGTCCTGCCAGGCTGGGTTTCTGCATTTGGGATGCGTTTTGTGGAATTTTTTTGATATTCTGTCTGCTTTGCTCCCCCTCAAAAAATCAAGAAAAGAAAATTCAGCAGAGAAAGGACTCAAAGGAGAAAAGAGGTGCAAAGCTTACGGCAGAAGCAGATGAGAGAAATCTCAAAATATTAAGAGCTGCTTGTTTTGCTGATGGGAAGGACGAGTTTAGAGTTCCCACAGCTCAATACAAAACCTTTATGCAATTCTGCTTCTGATTGACAGGAAAAAAAGAAGCTCGTAAAGAATTATTTGTATCTAATCTTACAAAAGCATCAGAGCCAAATCTGCCACTTCTGCGTCAGACACAAAGTGCAATACATCAGTGCATCTCCAGACTAACAAGACCATTAACAGATGCTCAGAAATAAACAGTACCTTTTTAAGCAAGTGGCTGGCAGTGCAGCGAGTCCCTTGCACATCTTGCTTCCGAGGTCGGCTCTGTATTCCAGGAAAAACAACAAGACAGGAGGCGGCAGAAGCTGCGCGCGGGTCCTTGGCTGCCTGCAGAATTCAGTCTGGTGTCTGAGCCAGCTGCGCTGCCTTGGCTCTGTTTTATAGCCTAGCCCAGACAGCCCAGCAGCACTGGGTGACCCAGTCAGGAGTCAGCACAGCGGCAGCACCCGTCCCCTTTTTTGCCCACCCAAGAGGAAGAGGGTGACGTATAAGCCAAGAGAAAGGAGTGAGTGGGATTGGAAACCTTACCAGAAATGAAGCTTGGTGTCTGGCTGCTGAGGCTGATTCTTTTTAAAAGGGTGGAAAAAGCTTCAGGGGCTTTCCTCTATTGCAAAAGGTGGAACGGCGCAGATAAAAGCTGGAGGAGATTTTTCAGAGGGGCACAGGCAGTAAAAAGGGTCAGAGAATCAATTCTGAGAAGTGAGATGAGCTTTGCTGGTTCCTCTGTTCATTTTCTCCTTCTATTTAAAGCAACCTGGGGAAAACAAGGGATGAGAATTTTAAACACAAAAGGTTCCCATAATCCCAACAAATGCAGAAACCAGAGCTCTGAGGAAAGAAGAATGTAAATTCACCAGGCAACTATGCAGGCAGATGAGACCGTCCTGTTTTATTCTAGAGACGTGTGGATATATGCCTTTGGTGAGGCTGAAAAAAAAGCTCTGAGGGGCATATCACTATCGGAATATAAAACGTGGGTGTCCTGGCACACGCATATTCAGGGACAGCTTATGTACATGTGCAGGAAAAAGAAAGACAGGAGGTTGACCACACAGCTGCCTTAGATATACGGGTATCACTCCAATACCTTACTGCCCCATTTGCATTTGCTCCTGATCAATAGCCAGTCCTTGTCCCTGAGTCCCTAAGGGAAGATGGTTAGTTAAAACAATAGGCAGAAGTGTGCCTGCCCGGAGAGGACTTTGTGGCAACGTTGAGGATACTCTGTGCTAAAGGATGGAGCCATAAACACCTGGCTGCGGGGATCTCTGGTGGTGACTGCACTGCCTGGTTCTGCTGTAGTCCCACGATAGAGCAGAATGACTCCAGCCACACCACTTGTCCTCAGACCCTGGAGGGTCCAGAAGGCAGTTGCCCCTCTGGAGGGAGAATTGGCTGTTATCTATCGAGTTGCAGCTCAGCACAACCTGTACCATCATTATAAAGGAGAGGAAAGCTTTGGGCAGACGGACATGCATATGGTCTGCTGCACTTCAGTCTCACTCACGCTGTGAAATAAAGAAGCTTCAGTTCAGCAGCAGGCTGTCTGCCCACGCTACCCACTGCTGCACTCCCTCTCCCCAGAAACATTTACTTTGCCCACGACTTGCAGAACTTGCAGAGTGAGCTTTTTCCCTCCTGTGTCTCTAGAGCCTACAGCCAGCAGCACAGACAACCCAAATCCCAGACTAGCTTACCTGCCTTGGCATACTACATCCTCTCAGATCATTAACTGTGCTGAAAGGCAACGCTCTAATGAACTTTAAAATGCTTTTGTACGAATGTGACTAATCTGCTGTCAAACCCAAGGTAACACGATTGCAAGTCCTGCGCTGTTTGGAATAAAAATCAGCTCCAGTGCAGGGTAGAATAAAACTTGTACTGAGTGAATCCCCTTTTGTTTTTAGTGTTGGTGAGCAGAGAGCACTTGGGTGGATCTGTAGGAGGTGAATGAGCACTGGCAGAGTTAGTGCCAAAGCTCTCTGATGTCCTCTGTTTGAGGAGGGGAGGAGAAAAGCCAAAGGGCAGAATATGGCCAAGGGGAAAAAAACCTAATTAATTGTTAAATATTTAATTTAATTAATTTAATTTTAATCTCAAGCTTGTGCAATGTTACTGTTGTTCATGGGCAACTGCAGCATGTTCATTCAAGCAACTCAAGAGCTCAGCTGGCCGACACGGTCAACGTGTCTGCAAGATCTGACCCTGGCCCTAACCCTGGCAGCCAGAATCTGACCTCCTGGCTCTGGAAGGTCCCAAAGGCTGCTTGCTGGGGCAGGGAACCTCTGCACAGAACACAGAATTCTACAATTTCTCTGCAAATTGGCGTGTAACCAGATTTAGGAATGTCATACTTCTCTGTGGATTGTAAGCACGTTCACTGCATGGCTCTAATGACACTTGAATGCTTGTGTCAACATCAAGTCACGTTCTGCATTTCCCAACTTCTGTGTGAGCAGGCTGTAATAAGGAATTTCTAACACTGCCATTACAACAGCCAGACGAAAGGCCTTTGCAATTAAGACCATAGTACCTGGACTGGATATGCAGAGTCCTAGAACTGCTGAAATTTCCACTTTTCCAGTTCATTAACACAGTCTGGTTCAGTCTGGCCCCACATGAGGAGTTTGGGTTAATGTACTGTTTCTCCTCTAAGCTGTGTTTCCCAGCTGTTGCAGTTTAATATCCTCTTAGATGCTCCAGCTGCTCTCCAACGAAAAGCGCTCCCTTCCATCTCTTACCCTTCATAGTCAGGCCTCTTCTCCCAGGGCACAGACTCTGCTCTGCTCAACACCAAAATTTCCTCCTCCCTGCCAGACTGGGAAGTGGTGGCTCACACCACTTTTGATGCCTGTCGTGGCACCTCTGTCTTGCTTCACCTGCGGCATGGAGAAATCAGCACTGAGGACGGGTTGGGAGTGCAAGGCTGGGGGTGGGGGGGTGGGGACTCCCTGGCCAACACATCTCTTGGCTTTGAAGGCACCCAGGGGCTCACAGGAGGCAGCATGATAGTAAAAGTCTGCAGTTCCCTCCGTGGCATCCCTCGTCCCCCACCCACTCATCCCTGCTGTGTCTCCCACCCTGCCTTCCCCAGCAGCTAGAGAGAAGGCTATAAAACGGAGCTTTCCCTCCCACCATCTCTGCTGGGGAAGAACGTCACGCAGGCGTGCTCACCCCTGTACACCAGCGTGTGGGATGTGTCCCTCGGCTCAGCACAGCCAGGCAGCAGGCCGTGGGAGGAGGCAGGGAGCACAGGGAACGCTGCTTTGGTGGTCATTGCCCAGAGCCAAGCTACTACAGGCTGTTGCCCTCGGGACAGCACGGGGCTCCCCCCATCTCAGTCCCTTCCCATCTCAGAGCAGCCGGCTGTGGGATGCACGAGCGCACGAGGAAGATGGCTGCTTTGTGTCACTGGAGATGTAGAAGGGCATGAGATGGGAGCTGTGAGGATGTGCTGCTGCTGCTGCCCTCCCCGGTCCACCTTGCAGAGGCTAACAGTGGCCCACTCTCCCTCCCAAGCCCTGCTGCAGGGAGGGGGGCTGGAGCTGTGCTGAACTCCCTGATTTGCTTCTCCCTTACCCCAGCCCCAAGCACTCTTTGTACAAAATCCCTTCCAATGCAACCCCCCACCACCACTGATTTCTTCTCCAGTACACCCGTTAGTGGCTAAGATTTCCTTCCAGTAACAAGGGCTGCATCTTTTCCACATACATGTGTACTTTGATTGAATTATGGCTAATGAGCTGGGAGCAGAAAGCCCTGGAAGGACTATTTGGGTCTGAGTTTGGATGAATCAGCTCAGCACGTGCCTGTGCCTGACACTTGTATGCAGCCCCGTTTCCTGTCTCAGGGCACTGACTATGGCCTGACCTCTCTAAAAGACACTTGTCCCCACAGGGTCCCCCAGCCAGTGCTGGGATTCCCAGAAATGCTGTCCCACGGCATAGTCTAAGGAAATAGTTCTTTCCCATGTCTCTACAATGCATGCCTGACTCCATGCGTGACCACAGCCATGGTCCTCACAACCAGCCCCCAGAGGCAGCCTTGGAGGAGAAACCATCTCTTCCCAAATCACCCCTGAGGAGAGAGATGACTCACCATTCCGCCACACAGTTAATTCACTGCTCACACACAAACCTTCTCAAGTGAATGTACCTCCACGCTGATCCAGTCACCTTTCTGCTTCTCTTGGGTGAGGCAAAGATGAACTTTCAAAGGCAAAGCAGCTTTGGTCTCTTGCCATAGTTTCTTGCTGAGCCTGCTCCTCTCTGAAGCTGTGGTCTGTAAACGTTAGCACATTTATTCAGCATGTTCCTTAGCCCCAACTTCATGCAATTCATATAATGAAAAGTATAACTCATACAATTTTCCCATGCTCTAAGGTGTTTTCTACTTATACATGCACCTACAACATCAGTGAATTTTTGCCATTTATAAGTACTTGGAAGTTCCAAATAATTTGGGGGTTTTTAGTTTTTTTTTTTTTATTTTGCTTCAACCCTTAGTTTTTGGGCTGCCTGCTTCTCCTGCCTACTCCCCAGAAGAAAATATTTCATCTTGTAACAAAGGCAGAATTTTGTTCAGCCCAAACAGATTTTCTTTTTCTCCAGGTTTGGGTTTGCTAATGAAATAAGTAGGGTTTTTTGTGTCTGGCTATTTTTCTTGTTTGTGGGCATCAGACAACAGAAAAAGCTATAATTTGAGTAATTTGCCTTCCCATTTCCCAAATCTGTCTCACCATCCATCTTGATTAACAGCCCCTTAAACATTTCCTCTTAATAGCTAAGAAAGTTTTGAATAACACTGGGCCACAAACCACAAGCCAACCTGTGTCTGCCCATTGATGCTTTCCCAAGACTAAAAACACTTCAAAATGTCTCATTTAGCCACTTTTAGTCCATTTGATATGGATTTTATGACATTTTAAGCCAAATATTGATAGCAAGTCATATTAATTTATAAATCTATTTCACCAGCACAACTCCCCCATAAAAGCACTATTAAGCCCATTAGAAAAGGTCTATTTTTCCATTAAATCACATCAGCTGGTATCAATTATATGACCACCTTTTAAAATGAGCCTGCTATCGTCCATACTAATAGTTCTCCTGCACTGATCAAAAGGTTAATAGCTCTGTGAGTATAGAGCTCACTCCCTCTCAGAGCATGGCTTTCTTCCAGTCTCCTTTTATTCTAAAATGTATGAAAAAGGGCCATTCGTTGTCCTGAGAGCCCTTTAGCCTATTCCTCCAAGAATCTTAGTACAAGCCCGTTGCACTTGGTTGATGTAAAACTGTGTAGATCACCCCCAGGGCTGTGTAGCCCAGGCAGGGACACACTCACTGGTCTTTTGCAAGGGACACTGAGCAGACGCTTGCAGAGTGTCCCAGCTCTGCCTGCAGCTCCTCCAGAAGTCTCCCAATGCCAGACCCCAACGCTGCCA